GGGATGGAAATAAGAGCAGGAACAGGTTCTGCAAATCTCACATTGATTGTCAAGGAGCAATGGGAAGGAGAGGCGTTGGAAATATGAGAAGAATAAATCTATTGTACACTCATGGGAAAGTGAGGAAAAGAGGTTTCACTACAATACCAACTCCATCCCTGCAGCACTTGTAGTCTCACAAAACTTGTTATATGCAGGTTTCAGGTGTCGTACCTCTGTCTTTGTGGACTAAAAGGCCAGAATGAAATGGGCAATCTTCAGTTTCCCTGCACAATGTAGAACACAAAACCCGGTGTTCATGTTCAACCTAACGGCACATTTGAAAAGGGGAGTGTTTGTATGTAAACATGAAGTCCATTAACTGATGTTCACAAAGAATATTGATGCAAATCTAGTCTCGGATGGGCCTGTCGGTCGATGTTTCACAGCCCGAGGGGACAAGTAAAAATACTGCCCACTCACAACTCCCAACATAGACCCCTACTAAAGCAAAAATATTGATTGCTACAGCCATCCAGACCCTCATACCAAATGTATCTAGGGCAGCAAAGCATTTATGTGTGATGTACAAGTTCCTATTCTATTGAATGACTGACATAAACATCCTCTCTGTGTTGCTACTTTAAGAGTCTGGCCTGCAGTTGCAACTGTAGACTGAAGAAAATGAACAAATAAAAAATTCAACAAACTCAGGCACTGGAAGATACAGCTGTGGCAGTTTTTACTGAAAGATTCATAACGGCGAATAAGAGGAATCAGGGTCACCATAGGCCATATGCTTCTAAGTAGACTGTGATGTGAAGGTGCATTTTTTTTAAAAGCAACTGAAGACAAGCTTTTAGTTAGACGAGGGTTTTTTATGGTTTTTGTTCTATGTTTTCCATTTCTCTTAAAATTTTCTTATGCATTTCATTTTACTTTGTTGTTTTGTATTGCATTTTATTGTGAAGCACTTTGTGATTTTTATCTGTGAAAGGTGCTATGCAAATAAACTTTACAACTTACTTACAGAGCAGTTTGTGGTTTCATAGACGTGGGTTAAAGCTTAAAGGGAGATCTTTTTACTTCAGAGCATAGCAGTAGAAACCTACGTACCTGTGAAATAGGTTTTGGTTGTGATAGAACCACTAGAATTAAATATGATAAGTGTGACTTAAGATGTTAGCTTTCAAATGGGAGATGTTGGCAACTTGTCACCAAAAGCATAATATGAATCTTTAGAAGCGTTTGTGTTGTGATTGTCAAGCCAGTAAAAGTGTGTACCTTACTCACAGGTAAACAATTAACAATAACAATTGCCACAGGCTCAAATTAAACAAGAAAAACAAACAATATTAATTAATAATATTGATATAATGATAATTTGGCACAGAAAAACTCCACTGTATAGTTGATCAGAATAAAAACTGAATGATTCATAAAAAATACAGCATATATAGAGTTTCTGATGAGCAACAGCAAATAGCATACAATAACAGTCCTGAAGCTAAACTGTAAATGTGGTTCTATTTCTGTAAGTAAAAAATTGTTATAAATAGAAGATAGACTTTGCAGTAAAACATGAAATAGCTGCTGCCATACGTTAAGTCAAACATCACTGATAACACAGTTTTCAAGTGAGTCATTAACTCCAAAAGCAGCTCTATAAGTGACATGCAGATGTGTTCTGGGGAATCCTGGTTTTGTGACAGGACGCTGATCTGCTACTCTGATCCTTCTGCTAAACAGGAGCTGATCAGGCAGGATAAGAGCCAGGAGCTTTCTCTCTCATGTGCCAAGAAAAGGCTGCATTGCTCCCATAAACAATCACTCGTGGAATTAATTTCCTGAGGTTGTGTCTACAAAACATGCACTCTCAAGCCTTATAATATGTGTGCATTTACAGAATATCTTCTTACAGAATATTTTGAGATTTAGAGGCATTCCCCCTCTGTGTATCATTAAAATAAATGACAAAAGCAATCAGTGGAGGGATCAGGGCACTTTAATGGGAAACATCAAAAAGAAAGACCCAGTGAAACAGAAGCTTAGATACCCTTCGACTCATTATCTGAACTGCAGACATATGTTGTGGTCGCATAAGATAAGAGAGGAGAATACAAACAAAGATACAAAAGGTAAATGAGGTTTGTTGGCCGGTAAAATGCAGTGCTTTATATCAGGCTTTCTCTACAGTCTCAAATAGTAGAAAGAGCATTAAAATAATCAAATTAAGTAGACAGGTGAGGACTTTATTGGTTTGGTGGTTTTCAGGGCAATCCAGAAAAAAAATAAAAATAAAACAAGGCACTCCTCACATTTTAGCTGTCAGGGACTGCCTTCACGGCAGAACGCATATGTATAAAATGTGTGAGAGCCACTGATAGATTAGTTATTTTGAATACTTTCTTTTCACTGGAGGATTTAATTATTACTCATGCAACTCTCAATGAATCATTCAGGAAGATGCATATCACATTATGTTTGTTTTTGGATGACTAACATTAATCAAATGGTGACGGCTAATTTTTAGTTGGCGGAAGCAGGTTCAAGGCCTTGGCCTGGCAAGCATTTGCCCAGCTGAAGTCCCTTTGAGCAAGATAATAAATGTAGCCGCTCCAAGGGTTTGCTTTATCCCCGTAGGGATTGATACATCATCACTTTTTTACCAGTGAAGATTGTATGTTTTGGTGTCTTTTGCATTGCATATGACCTTCATACTCAAATGTACTAGATTAAAGGTATAGTTTATTACATATGTTGACATGGTCACCTCTATGTGTCTGCAAGCAAACAGAACAATTTGTGGCATCCAATCAAAATATTCAGCTGCTGGTTCTCCACTCCTCTCCACTGCTACCTAATAGTACTGTCAGATATCATAAATAATATAACAACACCAGCCTAGCCTTGTCAAAATTCTGGTCTTCTCTGAGCAAGGGAGGTGTTTAGAAAGCCAAATAGTATCATAAGCAAACATGTATAAATCTACACAGAAAAGAGAATAATATTTTTTAAATTCAACAACCAATACATAGTGGGATACATGAGAGCTGGAGTGTCGTCCCTGTGTTAGTTTCATATACCTGCAGCTTTCTGACAACAGAGTGCAGACGCCGGCTGGCAAGACACCATGAACAGAGGGCTCTGTAAAGGGAAACACCCTCTGCTGGTTGTAAATAAAAGTGCACCACTCTGAAAGTGGCTGAGTCATTCCCTGCCATAAAGTAAAGTCTATGATATATATTGCAAAGCCAAGAAGGACTGCAGAGGAATTTCAAGCATTATCAGTGAGGAAACTGTAATAATAGATAAATAATGAGGAGCACTTAAATGTAATCAGCATCAGTGTTATGAATGAAAACCATTGTGTTCTAGCAGCTTAATGCCGTGAGTAGGGTGCTACACAAGCAGCTCAAATAGCAAGAAATCAGCCACAATACATCAAGTGGTTATGATGTGGCAGGTTGTGCTATGTAAAAAATCCTGGTGTGTAACTGCTCTATTTTATCCTGTACTGTTGAAAAGATCCACATATAATGACGATGCTTTTCCTATAGCCACCATTACATTAACAAGCCACAATTATACAGTATACATTTGAGTTTCCATGACCACTGAGTTCATTCATTTGCAAATCCTGTTTCCTATGAGTTCATGTGGTAGACGTACATAGCAATGCTAATGTGTAATTTTATGAGGTGGCAAAACGGGGGAAGCTGAAATCGCAGATGAGACAGTTATTCTGGATTTCCCTTGGCAATAATGAAAATGTGGTGTATGTGATGTATGTATATATGGCGAGGGCTGTCAGAATTATATTTCACAGTTCCTTATAGTAATAATTAAACATATAAGGAAATATGCTTATTTACCTTCTTGGCAAGAGTTGAAATCATCGATACAACTTGTTATGGCAGAAAATTGTGTCCTCTTACATTTAATCTTTTATGTATGATCTAATATTATATTATTATTATTACTATTCTTGTTTTGGCTTATAGATTATGTGTTGTGTTTTTTATCCTTAACCTTTCCTCTCCTATACTCCTTATGTTAGTCCATCCACATTTACTAAGGTTTAGAGCTGTGAGATAGTTTTGGTGTTTTCCTCTCTTGTTGTTCCTCTCCTCTCCTGGAGTTCATTCAAGGCCAAGAGAGGATCTCTGTTCCCCAAAACATAGAGACCTAGACTGTGTTTAAGTACTTCTCTGTTTTTTCTCTTTTGTTAAATAAATTATTCAAAGTAAACAGTTGGTTGTAACTCAATTCTTTGCTCAACCCCTCACCAGGAATATCATTTCTACGACACCATTCTCATGTCTGCATGGTAAATATGTAGCAAGAGCCAGCAGGTGGTTAGCTGAGCTTAGCACAAAGGCTGGAAATGGGGGAAACAGCTAGCTACCAACAGCTTTAAAACTGTTGGTTTTAAAGCTGTTGCCATTGTTTGCCATTTTACAGGGGATTAATGTGTCATGTTATTTCTTGGCCAGGAACAGTTGTCAGGCAACAAATGAAGACTCCAGGAAGTGCAACCTGCCAAGAAATAGTCCCTGCCTGGCTACATATTTACTGTGTAAACGTGAGAATGGTATCTATCTTACCAGCTTATACTCCTCAAGAAAGAGAATAAGTATGTTTCCCAAAACGTCAACCTATTCCTTTAAAATAGAACAAGGAAACAGCACAGATGACTACATTTTCATGAGTTTCTCTCTCAGTTCAGGAGCTCTGAGAATCGACATCTACAAGGTAATTCAGTGTGCCAGATGTCAATTTAATGCTGTGATTTGACCTCAACTGAACTGAATTGGCTGAAAGGATAAGTGCATGACTAAAGGGACTAGTGTCAGCACTGGACAAATCTACTGTAAGGTCTTAAAAACGAAGCACAGCGGAGGCACAACTGACACACATTCACATCACATTCACAACAACAAATGAGCACTTCATAATGAATTTCACAGTGATATGACCTAATGAACAGGTTCAGGAACAGTGACAAGCAGATATCATACCTTAAAGGGGGGTGGCAGGGTGCAGAAGCAGGACAGTGATCCTCCCACTGGTAAATAGAAGGCACAGAAGGGGAGGCAGGGGCTGGAGGAGGAGGAGGAAGATGGGGTGATGCAGGTGGGGTTGGTAGAGCTACAGGTGTGTGCCTCTCCGGGGGTGTGGGAGGAGGAGTGGGGAACTCTGTGGTGTCGTGGAGGTGAGGAGGGAGGGGAGGCAGGAAGTGGTAGTTGGAGGTAGGAAGTGGGGGAGAGGCAGGGGCACCTCTTTCTGCCTGCTCAGCACGGGAGGGCCTGCAGGGGAGGAAGGCAAAACATCAACAGACAGGCCGAAACAAGAAGGCCCAAATACGGCAGTTCAGAAAGAGGACACACTCCACTTTCCTCTATACAAGTGAACCATGATGGGAACTTACCTCAAAGAAGAGAAAGATGGAGCACTGTGCTCTGTACTGTCACCTAAACCTAACAGTGACTTGAAAAAGAAAAAACTCACTCCAACCATCCTAAGAGTGCTTTGTCATTTAAATTACATGGAACTGAAAATGTTACTCGTCTCATCAGTCCCCTTACATGATAGTCCATGTTTCTCTTGCTTGCTCTACATGCCCTCTGCAGTGAAGTAGCCTGTTGGAGGGTGTCTGGCTCTGTCATCATCGGCCACCTGGTGGAGTGGATTTGGCCCTGATCCAGGCCCGTCTTATCAGCGGTGGTAGGCTCTCTAATCTGAGGCTATGCAAAGGGCGGTCATGCAGCTGTTCCCCACCAGGGGCATGCCTCCTGTTGGGCTCTAAAAATACCCCAGAAGCTTCTTCTGCAGAATAGAGCTTCACAGTGCCTCCATCAACTAAAGCATATTTACAGTACTCAAGCATCTGTCAGCTGAGCTGCACTTTCCAAACGTTTCTTCCAGTTAATTTCAGACTGAAACTGAGCTCTGTTATTCTCCATCTCCCTCTCCAGTAAAGTCAGAACTTAATAACATTTAATGAGGGCGTGTGCTTTTCTTAAGGGTGAAGCAAGTTACAGTTTACATCTAATGCAGGTCTGGTTCCTATCATTCCATAATAAAAGTACATGGTTTTCTAATTAATTCAGGGTGGTTGCATGAAGCAGAAACAGACAATTCCAGATATGAATTTTTATTTGGTCCCATTCCTCTCATTACAAATCCTCAGTCGTAGACTTACACCAGCAGGCCAAACCTATACATATGTCAGCATCTGTGGCCAACTTGGCACATGCAGCCTGGAAATAGAAACAACCAAGTCACAACATGGTCCGAGCAAATTGTCAAGACTCACTGCTGCCTCCAAAGATGGACACAAACTGCTGTGGAGCAGATAAATCAGGCTAATAGAGAAGAGACAATATGCAGAAAATAAGATTACCCTGGACACTGGGGAAGTGTGAACTATTTACTGGTTCAGTGTGTGTGGAGATAATGTCAGCTGTCCCACTCAGGTTAACAGCTGGAGCTTTTCCAACTTGGACCCTTTTTCAAGATATGATGTGTGTGAGCTAGCAGAGGCTGCATTACCATATCCAGATGCAACACATTAAAGCAGCAACACTTCATGCCATTGTAGTTTTACTGTTGGCATTAACACCCGGAGGCTTTCCAGTAAGTTTTTTTTTTTTATTATTGTTGGTAATTCAGCAGTGTGCAGGGTGTTACTCAAGGACACCTTTTTTGAAAACGCCAGTCCAGATTTTACAAGACCAGCCCAGGGGTACGTAGTAGTCATTTTCTATCACAGTCCAGACAACAGACCTGATTCTCTAACCTTCACTTTCATGACTGAGTATTAAAAAAACAAAAGGGACTTTGCCTGTACTGTTCAAGCCATACACATTTAGTGTAATCTACGGGGAAACAGCTGGATGCATAAGACAGGCAGTCCAGGCAGGGTGTAATGATAAACAGAGTCATATACAAAACCAGCTGAAGGTACTAAAAAAGTGGGTCTTTTTAATACTCTAATGATAGGAGGTCAATTCCTGCAGCAAGCAGCTAGCACTGTACTGAGATACACACACACACGCACACACGCGTATTGTAAATCAAAGAACAAAACGTATATTTTGTAAACTCATACTTCATAAATAACCCACTAATTCTCTTCTGCCACTACTGAGATTAAGTTATCATTTAAAGGCAGTTTAGTGTGGTTGAATAAATGACAGACATGATATTATCCACTTCACTTGTTCCAGCAAAGTCATATGAACACCACAATCACCATGGTAACTAGTCCATTTACAGTACAATGTGGGCTCTAGCACATCCATGGCTGAGAAACATCCTACGTAACAAAGCTAAACAGTCATTCCCATGGAGTTTCATGAGAGAAAAACGATTTACAAAAGATGTTTTTATTCATACTAGTTGTATAACCTTTTCAAAAAAAGATCTTTTTATGCCGTATGTCATACAGCAAGTCAGTCCGTGGCCAATTTTAATCATTTGTGGTCATTTTAAAAGGCTAACAATGCCAACAAGATTTTTAGAAACCTCACAGTTAGTTAGTAGCAATAGTTGGTTTCACTACTACTGACATTTCTCGCAAACCGTTAATGAGGCAGTCTCCACATCAAGTAGGGGACGGGAGCACAATATACCGTAACAACAATATTTTTTGAAGTACATTTCACAACTTTGTTCCTTTTTTTCCGCCTTCTGTCCCCTCGTCTTTCTATTTGTCCCTCCCCTCCGCCTCCATCTGGTGAGGTCAGCAGAGGCAGAGTGTAATTAGCACTAGTTACCTACTGACCATCTGCTGCATCCACCTGGAGGGACTTAAACACAAACACCTACTGTCGACGCACACACAGAAAAATAGGGCAGCTACTTCTTGTCAACTCACCCAGATTTCAGCCACGGAGGAATCCATCCCACAACTTCAGAGCTAACGACAGTAAGGGATGGAAATGACTTCTACCTAGCGCTTGCTGCACTCCAAAACACCACAGCCAATAACTGCACATCCCAGTCCTCCTCTCCTGTGTCTGGGACTCTGACTGACTCTGTCATACACACTCACGTCGAAGCACATGCTCAAGTGTTTCTCTGAACTCTGGCTTTTGTTCCACTCTGTCTGGTCTGTGCAAATGACTTCAGTGGGGCTGAGTGCCTGCCCAAATTCCTCCCACTACAGGCTTCAGTTCACAAAGCCGCACAGACTGAGCAGGACTGACAGCTAGGACAGCCTCTGGGGCGGGGAAACAACCACATGTACACACACACACACACATCATTGACCATGCAGTAACATTTCTGTTTCTGGCACACATGCAAGTGTAATTGTATCTACTGATGAAACCTATAGTGGAAATAGCAGTGTCACTCCACTCTCCTACTCAGAACAAACCTTTATGTCTCCCAACAGCAGTGATGGGACAAGTGTTGTGACTGACAGGCGGCAAGTGCTACTCTGGCATGTGGGATAGCTTCTGGGCATGCAGCAAATGGAAGGAGAAGAGTCAAAAGAGAGTGACAAAATTGAGAGATAACTGAGGAAGCTGAGAAAAGCTAATGCTCAGAGAAAAGAAAAGAAATCATCAGCAATGATTTTATTTTAAAATTAAAATATCCCAAGACATTAATCACATAGTAAATACTGGAAAAGCATTACTTTTACAACACATACTTAGATGTGCAATGCACACTCTAGTGACATATAAGGTTCTGCAGTAAAAGAATGACATAAATGGAAAGTTAGGCTAGCTCCAGCTATTAAAATACTTCAGTAAATACTGACTGTCCACATAGAGGTCGAACTGAGCGAGACGCTGGTTTACTATGTGTATCTAACTTGGTCAGGAGTCTTAAAAACATAAAGGGTTCACTGCTATTACATCAACTAGGTCAAATCTGTGAGACTCCTTCTTATTCGTCCAATCAGACACTGTTAAACCGCTGCAGACAGCAACAACCTACCAGCCCTCGAGGTGTCTGAAGGCCAAACAAAGCCACCAAGGGGACTCTGAAAGTGCATGGAAATCCATTTTGAATGTGTGACAGGCAGAGCTGCTGAGCTGTAAAGCACATGTCCCCCTGAGATTCCCCCTTTTACAAACAGGATAGCTGCAATAAAATGTCTCTGACACATCACTATAATGGAAATGTTATGATAGGTTTTAGGAAAACTATCAGGACTAAAAAGGTCATATACAAATCATTCTGATGTCTGGTTTCCTGTTGAAAAAACAGTCAACCACAAAATTACCAGTGTTCCCAAAAACCTGCTGTTCTTAATGGTAAAACGCTATAATCCTTAGATTTTAGTGGATTGAGGATTACAAGGACATATTTTTTTTAAAGTCCAGACTCTGACTGAGCTCTGAGAGAGAGAACAGTACCATGGCAGCAGCCTTATATGGAAACACTACTTCACAGTTTACTTGAACTGGTAAAGTAGAATTTCACTGGAAACTGTAGCCATCAGTTCATATCCTAGACCATACAACACAGACACAGGATCTGGCATGTGCATTAAACAGCAAGAGCAGTGGGAAATGTGATTCTTCGCTGTTGTCATTGTTTCAACATACAGGTCACAGTCGTGAAAACAACATTTTAAAAAAACAGATTTTAAGATGTAACAAATCTCACTGTCAAAACTCTCACTGTGATTGATTATACATTAACCTTGTGATTTTACAAAGACACTCACCCACTGTCCTGTAGCTCCTCAGCAGGATCCTGGACTGTTTCTGTCACTGCAGGTTCCTCAGCAGGCACTTTAAATGGCTCACACGGTGGGATAGCCCCAGGTTTCTCCACTAGCTCCTCTGGCTGCTCACTGATCAGCTCCTTCTCTGGTTCTGGGGGCTCTGTTGTCGTCTTTGGTTGTTCTGGTTCTTCATTTTTCGTTAGTACTGGGAACTCTAATTCATTCTTTGTTGGTTCCTGGACCTCTACTGTGCTTTTTATTGGTTCTAGGAGCTCAGCTGGCTCCTCTACTATTTCTGGAGAGGTTAATGGCCCCCTTATTGGTTCTGGAAACTCTTCTGGAGGCCCTTCTTCTTTCTTGGTTGGTTCTGAGAGCTCTAATTTCTTTGTTTCTTCTGGGAGCTCTACATTTGTGCTCTGTGTTGATCCGGAAAGCTCTGCTGTCTGATGTGTTGGCTCTGGAAGCTCTTCTGTCTGATGTGTTGGTTCTGGGAGCTCTGATGTCTTCTTTAAAGGTTCAGGCTTAGTCAAAAGATCTAGAGGTGGGATTTCAGTTGTCTCCTCTGCTGCTTGCTCCAGTTGTGGGATCTCCTCTTGTCTCAGAAGAGCAGTTATCTCCTCAGTTGGAGTAAGAAACTCTAGTTGAGGAGACTCCAGAGATGGGAGGGGTCTGGAAAAACAATGCAAGAGAAGAGGGGGTTGGGATATTTGTTGTTTAGTTTACAGCACATGCCCAAAGAATGACTGACAAATGACAAATGGGTGTGTTTGTGTGGGTATGAGGGCATGTGTCCCTACAAGAGTGTGTGCGTTTGACAGTAGGTATATGTGTTGTTGTTGCATTATGTTGAGCAGTGTGTTTTGTGTGAGAAAAGGCTCATTCTTGCCCTGGAGAGCAGGGACGATGTCACAGCTGATGTCATCCTTTGACTATAAAGAGCTGCATTACTTCCATTAGACTTCAACAGGCACAGTCATCTGACCCGAGCTCGAGTCAATACAAAGTGCTGCTCTGTGTTTACCTCCTCATTCATATTCATTGTCACACTGCTCTCTGCAATATCACTCCAAACACTAAACAGGGTGTTACTGGAACGATAAGTTGGAAAAAAGCAGAAATTTATGAATACTAAACTATTGAGAACACTGATTTACAACCGATGGAGATATTCATATAAATGATAATATTCTAGTCAATATATAATTCTTTAGTAGTGGTTCTGATTGGTGTGGCTGGTGACACGCAAATCCAAAGCAGACTACACATGTGTCTTTCTCTCTGTGTCTCTGTGATGTGCTTGAGCAGATGCTATGTGAGAACATGCTATTTTGTGTAACACATTAAGTGGGAGCCCACGATGACCTCGGCTAACCTTGTAGACACATGTAAACACAAAGTTTACCATTTCAAACACACACATGCTCTTGTGTTTACCTTGAGGTCTCCCCTGTGTTCTCTTGTTTACTCTGAGAATGGGATGCAGCTTCTTTTAGAGCTTTGATCCAGTTTGTGTCTGGTTCTGGGGCTGCTAGACCAGGAGCAGGACTCTCTGACACATCAGTGGCCTCTGTATTCACAGACACTTGTTCAACAGGAGAGATGCAGGCAGGGGCTTTTTCATGTGGTCTTCCTTCACACTGGGAAGCGGCAATAAAGGGGTTTACCTGGGTATCATCTTGGGGCTTTGACAAGTGATCGTGTGGTTCCTCTGACTGGGCAGGGGCTGCAAGTGGGGTCAGTGCAAAACCTTCCGAGCACTTTGATGAAACAGCAGATGGGACTGTGATAACATCAGGAGTTATTTTATCTGTTATATCATTGTAATTTTCTGTTTCCTTAGAAAGAACAATGCTCCCCTCAGAGTGACAAGCAGTAGTCTCGGTGCTGCTGTGAGACACCCCACATTGTCCCTTCCCCTGGTTGCTAGCTTTCTCTTTATCCAAAGCTGCTTTATCTTCTTTTGTGATCTCGTCTACATCAGGGCCTTTTATGGCTGTTTGTGCTACTGGGCTGCTTTGTGCGGCTGAGGTTATATTGGAGCTTTGTAGCTCAAGAGGCCTGCACACTGTATCCTGAATTTCACCCTCCTCAATTTCACTACTGTCGCTTTTCACAGCAGTGGCAGCACTGAAATCCTTTCCCACAGTTTCTGGTTGCCCAACAGGATCTGGCAGAGAACTGAATATTTCTGTATGAATTGCTTCAGCCTGGCCCGCACTTGGAATAACTTCTGTATGAATGTCGTGACTATCTGTGCTGACCTTAGATGAAACAGAGATTCGGAGAGGTGAAGTCCCATGTTCTCGTGATGGAGACTCAACAGACACAGCAGTGTTCTTTGAGTTCCCATGTTGGTCCTGACAGGCAGCTGATAGATCGCTTTTTTGCTGACCTTTGCCACCCAGATCGCTCACAAACTCAGCATCCGGCATTAAATCTGTATCTGACCCAGCTACCCCTAACCTGAGGCTTTTATTCTCGTCCATCCCCTGTCCTGTCTCACCTACATGTGAGCAAGCTGTTACTATCGCTATGTCAGCTGAGGCATTTCTCTCAGCAGCCCTTCCACTCTCATTTAAATCACTGGCAAGGTGAGATGGCACATAAACCGTGTCAACCCCTGGTCCAGCTTGCACTCCCTCTCCCTCGCCCCTCTCTAGACCTGTCACTTGTTCATTGCCACTGCTGCCATCACCTGTCAACTCATCCCTGCTCCCTGAATGACACAAACTCCCAACAGGGCTGTCTCCTTCCTCTGCTACCCCCGGAACCAGTGCTTGGGTCTGCCTGACCTGACTGTTAGTCTTTTCTCCCCCCTCTACACAGCCACCTGACAGGTCCTGTGTCGGATGTCTGGGTCGCAGACTCTGCTGCTGTTGCTCCTGTTGCTGTGCAAAACAGTTTGGATCTGGTGCAGACTGTGATTGGCCAAGAGCTGCAATCAAATCTGGTGCCGTGTTCATGTCAGAGCTGTGTTTCAGTGTTGCTGCAGGAGTTTGGCACAAGCTCTGGTCATAAACAGTCTGAGGTTCACTACAAGACTCTACCTCAGCACTTAGCTTGTCCTCAGATGACACTGCAGGTTTGTCGGGAAATGAACAAGAAGTCTCTGTCTGGCTTTTAGATGCAATGCCACTCTTCCTTTCTCCTTCCTTTATATCCCTAATTGGTGATTCAGTCTTTTGTTTTTTATGTGTATGTGGTGGCTGCAGGTCTCCAATTTCCTTCACAGCCTCTTTATCTGGCTCACTCTGTTGTGGTGTTGTGCCTTTCTTTCCTGTATGCAGCTTCCTGCTATCTGCTGTTTCCTTTTGATTATCCATTGTTGCCTCTTCACCTTGTTTCTTTTCCTCTTCAAACAACATGGATGTCTGTTGTTCTCCCATTTTGTGTTTCTCTTTCATATTGTCTTGTTTAATTTCATCATAAGTGTCCTTGGTAGGCAGGTCAGAGCTGAGTGGGCAGCTGACATTAATGAGGTCTTCCTTAATGGACGCTTCACAAATAACAGGTTTAATGCCGCTAGAGTCTGGCTCAGTGTGAGATAAAGAAATTACATTACCGAAACCACCATTTGCCAGTACACCCACTGCAACAGGAGGCTGAGTTGGAGGAGAAATATTTAGCTCTTGTGAAAATGGAATACTGACATGATTCATCGCAAAATTCCCAAGTTCAGCGAAAGACTCCATAGCATCATTTCTATCCTCCAGTTTCGGACAAGTCTCATCTGCTTTAACACTGACATCACCATGCGTCAGACTCTGTGCTAAAGACATTTGTGTCATTTCTCTGCTCTTGTTGCCATCCACTTCTCCAAAGACGTAGGTGCTGTCACCATCAGCACTGCAGTTATCCGTCTGCTCAGGGAGAGAGATTTCACAGTCGGTAATGAACTCCAAGTGACTCAACATTGGTCCAGGAGGCCGCAGTAAAAAAGTAGGATTACTGGCACATCGCTCGATAACAGGAACTGACTGGTCAGAGGCTGTCACATCTGAAGTCACTGATTCATCCTTTGTCAGATCAGCAGAATGAAATGTGGACTTAGGCCCTTCACTATCCTTCATGGAAGGTGTTTGATCTAATTGGATAGAAGGATGAGAATTGCTGTCACTAGGCTTTTTCTGAAGATATTCTTTGCAGGTCAAGTTCAGAGTTTCAGGTTTTAAGCTTGGGTCAAGGTCAGAAGAGAGCTGCCCAACAGGTAACTCAGTGGAGACCTCACTTAAAGGCGTGCAAGTAACATCATCAGCTAGAGGTACAGAACATGAGGACAGAGGATATTGGTTGCCTTTTGTTTCTTCAAGAATTACAGTAGCATCACTTATTAAAGGTGACGCCTGGTGATGACCAGCCTTGAGTGAGCCCTGAGACTCAGCATGTAACTTAGATATATCTTTCTCCTTCGACAAACATAGAGTTACAGCACCCTTCTCTGTTTCTGCCTGTAATTGCTTTGTCTCCTTTTCTGACACCTGCTCGACTATTAGATCGTTGGCCTGATTCTTCTTGGTAGGACATGGAAGCTGATTTAAGCAGGCCTCAGTCACAGACTGTAAGTCCACAGTGTTTGTGTCCAAGTTGTTATTATCTAATTGATCTATGTTAATGATCTCCTTGGTATCTTTAATCCCCATATCTCCTTTATCTAACTGGACAACCTTCGGTGGCTTTGTTAAGACAGCTGAGCTCCCTATTGCTTGTTCATCCTTGGTAGGAGCTGCATTCGTAGGGATTTTTGGTGTCTTCGAGCTGAGGGACTCTGGGAAGGTGTAGCTGGCCTCCACAACAGGATGGTGCAGACTCTCGTGTACAGTCAGTGGGGGCAAAGAGGCGCAGTCCATAGCCGACATGTTCCTGAGAGCCACAGAGGAATTGTCCTCTTGTTTCACTGTGTCCGCAAAGTGAACTCTGTTGCGTCCAATGCTGTCACACATGTAAACACCCACTCCAGAAATAGCAGGACTACCACTATTTCTCTTGGTCTGTGCTTGGAACTCAGCTGCACCGTCGCCTGCTCTGGCTTCTCTTGTGCTACTTTCAGGTTGGACCTGTTGATTGTTGCTCTCTTGTTGCTCGACTGGGATTTGTTGTGCAGCAGTGGTCAAGGGCTGAGGTGAGATTAAAGACAGGAAGACTTGGCTGTAGTTTCTCTCTGTCTCCGTGACAGACGGCTCCTCACAAATGTGTCCCAAAGACAGTGCTTCCTCTGAAATCAAATTCTGTTTGAGATCAGCGCTTACCCCTCCGTTTGTATTGCTGGAGCTCTGTTCAGGGTGAGTGGGGAGAAGGGAAATTGCTGCACCAAGCTGCTCCTGGCAGAGTTGAGAGAGATGGTCCTTTCCAGAGCTGATGCTCTCAATGATGGTAGCAATCGGCTCCCTCCAGCACTGTGACTTCAGCTGTGACTCGGCAACATCGGTGGGCGGACACGTCTCAGTCCCAGCTGATGACACCCCACTAGCAGAGCCTTCTGGCTGGCTGAATGAACTGTGCTCTCTAGCTAGCCCTCCTTTCTCTCCCACATCCTCTCCTCCTCCTTCTCCTCCTCCCTTTTCTGCTCCCACCAATCCCGCAGCACTGTGATCCTGACAATCAGGACCGGTTAGTAGCCCAAGGGGAGAAGTATTGACATAGGCTTCTAACCGGCGTGGCTCCTTTTCTCTGTCTCCCTCTTCAGCGAATGATGAGATCTCTGTGTCTGCACTGCGAATGGTTGTCTCTCTCGGTCCCTTCATTTCAGTCTCAGCCAAGTTGTGTGGCATTTTGCTGGTGTAGCTTTCCTCAGATGCAGCCTGTCCCTCTTTGGCTGAGAATGCAAGTGAGCATTTTCCCTGTGAACAAATTAATGCGAGCTGAGGAAGGCTGCCCAGGAGTCCTTCTTTCTCTCCGTCTGCGGAGCTGATGCACTTTACTATTCCTCCCAAATCTTTCTCTCCTACTGCTTTCTCACTCTCTGCGATTGCTAAAGCAGCCACTCTCTCCAGTGAATCACGCCTCACGCTTTCTCCCTCTCCCTTGCTTTCTATCACTTCTGGCAATGTGGGTGTTGTCAGTGGCAACGCAGCAACCACCACTAAAGCCTCTTCAAGGGCACTCTCCTCGCCACTCTCTCCCCCACAAGTTCGGCTGTTGGAGAGTGGGCTCCGATTCTCCTGTGTGACTATCGCTGCTTCTTCTGTGGTAACTATAGCCTCCTGTGTTTGTGCATCTGACCTCTTATCAGCAGAAGCGGCTGGATTGATAACTGTAGTTTGGACATATGTCATGGTTGTATTTTGGTTGTTGATGGCACCTCCGGTTGCATGTTGCGCCCGCTGTGGGCTTTCATCTGAGCTGTGATTCATGCCACATGGGGCATCTGAAAGGTTGTGGTAATCTGACTGATGAGGCCACTGTGAAAGAGCCTGGCTGGACACAGGTGAAGAGGCTGAGTCAGTAAGATGATCCTGCATGCTATGAGAGGATGATAGTCCAGGGCTGGGGCTGGGCTTTCCCCCAGGACTCAGCTGCTGCCGGTAGTCAAACCCATTATCAGGCTGTTCCCCATAAATCACAGTCTGAGTGTCTGCCTGTGACACTGATTGTACATTTGCCATTGAGTCTGTGTGATTTCCTGTGTGAAGTGACACAGCCTGTAAATCATTTTCAGGTTGTACTATTGTCTTTGCTTTCTGTTCGTTCTTCTCCATCTTTTTCTTTTTCCTTTGTTTCTTTTTTTCTTTCTTCTTTGCATTTTTGTCTTTCTCTGCCTGTTTGTTGCTTGGTGAATTCATCCTTTTGTCTGTTTTTGACTCCTCATCCCCCTCAGTGTGATTGTTTGCTCCTGGGTGTGTCTCTGACTGCATCTCTGATAATGCATCTTTATTCTTTAAATGAAGAGAACTGCCCTCCAATGTTTCATTAACTGAATCATCTTTCTTTCCAACTATACAAACATTAATACTGGACTCATCACTATAATTTTCTTCATTTATGTCTACAATCTTTGTTATTGCCTCTTTGCCTTCCTCTCTAATCACTGTCTTACAATCCAAAGTGCCATTTTCTTCAGTGGCTGCAGTAGAATCAACACGTTCGTCTCTTAAATCATCTCTCTGCTCAGTGAATGCAACATCTTTTGTGGTTTCTTTAAATAAATCTGTTGCTGTTTCTAATTGTGCATGTGGGAGTGTTTCCATCTGTTCATGTATCTCTGTTTCTTTTTCTGGCTTAATGTCTGGACATTTATCCAGGCTCTGTGTTGCTTTTATTTCACTCTCTGCTGCCCCAGCACTATTCTCAGTGCCCAGTATGTAATTCCTGAAACTAAACACATCTGTATCCTTATGACTGTGTGCTGCCTCACTATTTCCGTGTGTACTCTTGTTGCCATGGCCCACGTTGCTATGTCCTGGCTGGACTACGATTGGAGGCAGAGAGGATGACTCATCTGACTTTTTAACCATCACTTGTCCAGTTTTCTTCCCTACATCATTAACCGTCTTAGGCGTGGTGCTGGGGAGCTCTGTGGAAGTAAGCATGCCCAGGGAGGCCATCTGTTCTTCACATTCCTGCAAGGCCTCTTGGAATTCCTGGTCTAGGAGCAAGGATGGGGGAGGGGTCAGGGGTGGGACATCCGGGTAAGGTGTGGCAGCGGGATGAGGTGAAGGCTGGGCATCTGTGAGAACTGGGTCGCTTTCATGAGGCCTGAGACGAGGGTAGGGTGACAGAGTTAAGAGTCTGGACTGGCAGGCAGACAGCTGGTCATTCCACGATGCCACAGAGCGCTGCTATTGGCAGAAGCCCATGCTCAGACACTGCACTCTGCGATATGCACACACAACACACAACTGTACTCAGAATGCCTAGGCTGAAATGTACTCTCAGCTGTTTATAAACATATGGTTGTTAATTAACATGCAGGTCTGTTCATACACACCACATTACGCTAAGCTACACCTATATACTTTCTCTGTGCCCAGCAACAAGCGTCAAATCTAATTTTCCTATTTCCTATTTTGATGTGAATGTCTGTCAAATTGTACTAAAAACCACCAAACAATAACAAGTAGTTTCACATAATTTGATTGGTTAATGATGTATTGGTATGCCTTATATTTCATTAAGTATGAACCTAGTACTTGCAGCATGAATGTAACAATAATAGTTGTAGCAGCTACTAAGAATTGTAGAGGCATCCATATACTGTTCAATAGTAATCACCATGAAAGGCCTTTATTCCAGCCAGGATGTTGTGTACTGTGTTTATGTATCTAGAGCAATATTTTTTATTCCATTATCCTGACTAATGAATACTCTATTGGTTCATTCTAAAATATTATTTTTATTTAAAGGATAGTGATTATTAAACATAAATGTAAATGTTACACAATCCATGACATGTCAATAATTACTGCCTTATTATTACTCCCTTAGGAAAAAAGGGATGGTAATAAATCATGACACAAGATAACCAACATGCTCATACTCATACGCACCAAAACAAATGCTGCCTCATAATATAATAAAATGGAATCAAAGCAGTGGCGTTGCCCTGCAAAACACTCCCTGAAGTACACAGCTAGCATCACAATGTTAGAGTGCTTGGAATTAATGCATTTTAATATTTAGGCTTTGTGCCATTCAGTTGTAAATGCTGACTCACTGCTAAGCCTTTAGCCGGTAGTACAGGAAAATGCTGTGGGAGCATCTTAATCTTTAAGCCCCACTGAGTGTATAAGTCCACCATCATTATATAGTTAGAGTCATACTCTAATACATGCAGCAACAACTACGACAGAAGTCATTATTTCATGTCCATATAGAAATAAATAAAGTGAGAAATCACGTCACTATGTGTCACTGGATATGATTGGTTAATACAGTCTCACATGATTGCTGCATAAAGGCTCCATAATCACCTTGTAAACACAACCTCTGCCCTGACAACATGTTACTCACTCACCTCACTAACCTGCTGGTCAAGCCTGTATCTATCTCACTTGGCATTCCCTACTAAAAGGCGGGACAGCAATATAGACTAAACTTTTTACAGCTAGGCAATAAGGTGCTTCTCACATCGCATTTTTACAAGTATAGGTCATGTTACTCTGCAGTGTTTGGCTTAAAAACCAGGAACTTTATCTATTTTTACCTGCCTTTTCACCAGTTTGAGTGGGAGATACTATATTAATGAATCATTAGGTAATGATTAAATGATTAACGCTGAACCAGAAGTGTGGCACAATAACTCATTCATTAGTAATTACTTAATTATTACTTACTATTTTTGTGCTCCCCGAAGTAAAGTGACACATCCTACTGAGTGGTTAAGTAGTCACTCATTTCTGCATGATTATCTGACCATTAGGTACTCTGTTTGTGCCCTCCAAAGTAAAGTAAAGCATCATCACACAAAACTAACAAGTAGATACTTTTAGAAGCAATTAGTTCCTGTGTTCTCTTTTTAAATGCATAGTTTTACACATTCACACAAAGCTATAATAATTATACTGCTGCAATGAGTCCGGTAGTCAGAATACATTAATTAGTGCAATTAACCTGAGCAGTTAGCCAAAAAGCTGAATGCCAGGCAACACTTGAAAGAACATAATGTCAGTCTGCAGATAATTTAGCACACAAATCAAACAACCACACCTCAAGTCAAGTCAGACAACATGCCAACAGTGATGCCCATCACACTCAGTTGATCATCCTGTCATCTTTTTGTAACACTCCATGCTTTTTATCATCCTCTGCTGACCACACTCCCACGGCAGATGCCCTGCTATCCCCCATCATGCTGACTCTATGTGTTACCTTGTATCTAGAACCACCAGTGGTCGACTGACTTCCATGTGATGCCGCAGGCCCGCCAGCAGGGGGTTCACCTGCTCACATTTCCTCTCACCTGAGCTATTCTGAGTTCTGCTAACACAAACCCACACCACACACATACACAGACACAGGTACACAGACATGCCCATATGTAACAAGTAAGTTCCAGATTAACTTTGACCTTGACTGAACAACTGGTACAAATCTGTTCCTTTTCTCACATAAATCAAGTAATGTGAATATCCAATATATTATTATACAGTAATGCAATAATAATATCATACTTCATTTATCACGAACCGGCATCTTTACCTGTGTAAACTATACTATAATGTTTCACCTTAGAAAATTACCTTGGAAATATAAACATTTTGATCAAAGCAAAGTTAAGACATTTGAATGCCTGTTGCAATGTATTGGTGACATCTCCATGAACATGTGTAGAATACAGATGGATGAATGGTTTTCAGATTGAAAAAACTGCAGACATATGGGACTTAAGGGAATGGGTCTGTATGATTGGGACATTTTGCAACTCAAAACCCCTACTTGGTTTCAAGTCATAAAAGTATTTCTCTATAGCATTAAATGTTTTACTGAAAAGACAAATAAAGGTTCTGTGGGAAAACACCTCTAGAGTTTAGCATTTAAAAAAAAAATCTGCTTATCTGCTCCATCAGAACTGTCTGGGTGTGGTTTGATTGATGACGCTGGCAAAATAAGCAAACAACCTCACAACTGTCATCACATTTTGATTCAAATGTTGCTCAAATGTATCCGATGTTGCCACTTTAAACCAGTGAGAAAAGCAAGGACAAAAATAGGGATTTCTCATGTGACATCACCAAACAGTTCTAACTAAAGAAGAAACGTGTTCAATGCTCACAATAATAGTTATAACTACACAGTGTATTTGGTATTTTGTACAGCCAAGTTATGCATATCTAACATAGAGAATGTATGGCGAATACCTATTGCTTTTACTCCTCCCCTTGTTTATGTTTTCATGTAAACAAGGAATGCAACTGTTAACTGTATTGTGACTGCTGTTATTAACATGATTCACATTTCCTCAGAACTGTACAAGCCAAACAAGAACTTGTCTTTCTTCTTTTTGTGATATCCACTTACAATCAAGTTTTATCTTAACATTACAAAAACTGCTTTGTTGGTAATTACCTGCGTAATTGTGTATATATGCATACATGTTTGCATGTAACCCCTCAACTTACCCCAGTGAGGACTCCCAGATGTTGAGCTCACTGCTGAAGTCTAAACTGGGCAGCAGGTCATGAGGAAACTCAAGCTCCTCCTTGTCGTCCTGGTCTCCAACTGCACCTCTGCTCTCTTCCACTCCAGTGATGACTGCGACGTCTGGGAGCCCTGGTTGAGACAGCAGGTTCTGCTGGCTGGAGGAGGCTTCAGTCAGCAGTGTTCTGTCGTCCCTCTGGGTCAAACTCTCAGCATGAGCTTCCGCCTGTGGGACCATGAAATAAAAGCGTAATAAGCATGCTGGAGCCTCTGCTGCACTGTACAGAGTGTGTACTTAAACAAGTGTGAGCACGTTGCAAGCGAACATGGGAACACCTACAGATTCAACGCTCAAAGCCAAGCATCACAAACAAATCCACCCAAACAAAAACGTCCACCCATGTGTTACATGTGTTACATGTGTTAAACCTAAAAGTGTTGTTTGTATAATGCATAGGTCACAATGACAAGAGTATTGTCTTTCTCTCAAACACCTTATCTTTATTTTCTTTTACTATTACTGAGATCAAAGGATTATTTCAAGCGTTATAGCCTCAAATTTAAGTCAGGTTCAGTGCGCAGGCCTCTGCAGCTCTATTTACACTGTGCTTTTGAGCATCACATACCTACTGTCCTGAAAGAAACAAACTTCAATTTAGTGTATGGTCATTACAGTCTGGTGTTTTCCCACTTACAAACCTCTCACAAGGAAGTCTGCAATAATTATTTTCATATAAAAAAAATTGTTTACCTAGCGTGCAAGACTTATCATTACAGACAAACCAGTCATGCTGGACTGTGACATGCATATTCAAACATGTAGTTTGATCATTGACTACAGTAGATCATTTAGATGACACTTTAAGTCTTAAATTCTTTCCTTTATCTTGACTTAATAATTAGGAAGTCACTTGAGCTCAGTCATTTTCTGAAACAACAGGAAAAGATTTAATTTAAAATGTGACTTTATCTGGCTTACAATACATGGAGCACTTGGCCTTGGCTGTTTTTCCTTTCTGTCTGTCCAACCACAGCCACACACCACAACACTTGCCGGCTGCGGCATCATGTTGCAGCAACACTGCCATCGCAACACACAACGCTCAAATGTGAGCTAGTGCGTGATGGAATTTCTCCCACATAGACTGCCTCAGTTTACAGAAGGGAAAGTTTCCCTTATTTCACCCACCCAGATGTGAACTGAGATGTGCAGGTGCAGGCAAACAAACATGCAAAGACACATGTAAACATGTGATGATATAACGCGGCCTTTTAATGTTCAGTATGTGTGGAATATGTGCAGCGTGTGCATGAGAGAGAGAGAGAGAGTTCCTATTTTTAGCGAATTAGGAGGTGATTTGATATAATGGTGTGAGCACAGAAGTGACTGTGGAAACTCATTGCTGAGATTCAGAATTGACTTGAATCATTCATTCTTTATGAAGCAGTAGTAGATGCACTGACTAACATGAGGAACAAGAGGAAACAAGAGGAAATGACAATTAATTTCATTCTGTTTTTGGAGACTGTTATACACTTGCATTACTGTTTTTATATATTTTACTCATTTCAGTTATAATAACATTAATCAATTGCATTACATTGCATTACAAAACAAATGTCCTCCTTAAAAATGGACTACAAAATGCCACCTCTAGCTCTAGTTTCACCTCTGTGGTGTACTTACCGGATGCTGATACTGGAGACAGATTAACAAGTAAAGAAAGCTATGTGTGTGTAGTGGGGAGGCTGTGAGGCATTAGCCTCACCTGTGTCACCACTACAAAGACCCTCCTTTGTGTGACACATTCAGCACAGATGGAGGATCTCTCTGCTTTGTTGCTCACATATAGACAAGAATTTAAAAAAAAAGTCTTGACTGAACTGGGTCTTTAAAACTGTCAAGAATGTTGGCCAGTAATGTAGCTTCTCTCTTCACATCAGTGTATTCAAAGATCAAGCCATATTAAGTTATTTTTAAAAGTACTAATTTAGGCTAGTCCTGCAAAACATAAAACATTAAAGGCTGTCACTCTGAGTGCCTGTGATCCCCCTACTGTTGTTATTTCCTGTATTAATGTTAGCTCATAAGATAAAAAAAAACAAAACAAAACATTCTTCCACACCTTAACAGGCAGGCATGCAGACATGAACACAGTTTCATCATGAGATGGCTGTATGTTTACGTGTCTAGGAGTTTCCTGTTTCCTGCATGAACTCTTACACCTTGTCATGTCAAGTGTCAAGACTAGCTAAGTAGACACGGACTACCCCCCCCCCCCCCCCAGGGAATAAAACCCCAGGTGGCACAGCATGTCCAATTTTACAGCCACGACTCATTCACCATATTATTGGCCATTGGTGTCATTGTGCGAAGATGTGGAAGCTCAGTGAGGTGGAAAAAGTACAGCCCATGCTTCAGCTAGTTTGAGCCGCACACAGAAAGCACTGTCTGTTATTAATTAACCCACGAGAACAAAACAGAAAACAAGCTGAGGTTGCCTGGAGACTGCAACTTGTCTTTCTGTTAAATTAAATGGGACAGTGCCCATGTGCTAACACAACTTTATTGTTTACAACAGTCATGTGTAACATGTCCGCTCTTTCTATCTTGGTTACTATCCTGTGTAAAATAGTACACCTCTCTCCTGTCATTATACACAGCCTAAAAGTTTCACCCCACGATCTCTATTGTGTTGCACTTACCGATGCTCCTCCACTGGGCTGAAGGTGACTCTATAGTGCAGTGCAGCTCCTCTGCTGCCCCTCTACCTTGCTCACTGTACAGACAGCCTCTGCAGGGCTCTGTGTTTTGGAGCGGGCAGAGGACGACACAAACATGCTGCAACACATGCTGCTGACGCTCCCTCTCCTCTTTTGCACTGACTCAGCTAACTTCCTCCTCCTCCTCCTCCTCCTCCTCTCTTATCCACAGTCCTGTCCTCTTTTCTGTTGCTGCTGTCGCCCGTGTTAAATTTCCATGAGTCTCCCCCTGCTCTTGCAGTGTGTGTGTGTGTGTGTGTGTGTGTTGTCTGGAAACACTACACTACCACGCACTGACAAACACAGTGCTTGCTGCTGAGACTTGACTGGGCTGGCCAAAGGGAAGTGCAGCAATTTCTCCTCCCCCTCTACTGTAAACTCTTTCTATTCCCTCCTCCTCCTCTGTCTCCCTTCCCTCTTTTCTTTCTCCCGTCCTTCCCTGTCCTACTCTGCCCGGGCCTCCTCCTCCCTGCTTGTCTTGCTGCTGTGTGTTCTGGCTGATTGCGCTGACAGACTGATAGTGCCTCTGCAGGTGAATGCTGGGAATTAGAAAAAGGGTCGGGCCTACAGTGACCACCTGAGGGAGGCTCAGGTTACACCCCAAGGAACTTTGGTTACATAACACATGGGCACATTATAAAAGCGCCTGCTTTATGCAGCTTTGACCTCTCAGTGTTGCTGAGGTGTGCCATCATCACTGCCATCATCACTGTCATCATCAGTGCACATGGACATGACAGCACCTTTTCCTTGACACTTAATTAACCCCCTCCCCCCAACACCCTGTGTTCCTTTTGACTGTCTCTCTTGGTCTAAGAAACACAAAAACATAACATCTGTCCATACACTGAATGTCTTCAGCTGGTTAGTATTTTCTCCTGTGGCAGATTTTTACTGGATATTGAGCCAATCGCAATGTAAGTGAGATCTTCCTTATTTATACAGTCTCAGACATGGTACAAATACACAAGTTACAGTCACAAGGAATAACAAGAAGTATTTTCCAATGTCATGCGCATTTCACAATGATTTTAAAAGGAATACAAATGAACCACATCTAACTGGCTCATCGCAGCACACCTTTAGCCTATAGCCAAACAAATGTGTCTCCTGATGTGACATAAATGTGGAAGGTAAGAGGCTTAAAATCTATGTGTCACTTTAAAAGTAAGAACTTAAGTAAGATTGCTTTGCGTTTCATGATGAAGTTCTAATAGACAGGCACAGCTGATTACTTGAGTCTTATTAACAAAAAATAAACTCCCCACCAGCACTATAGGTTGCCCCTTTTTAAGTTAAGATACTTTTTGATTTCGAGTTTCAAAATATCAGAAACAAGCAAGGAGGGAATTTGGGAGACTATTTTTAGTGTTTACTTTAAAAAGATGCATAGAATATCTCACCCACCAGTTTATATTCTCTAAGACTTTCATACACACTCTCACTCTCTCACACACACACACACAAATTTTGTACCTGTGTGGTGTCCTTTATATTTTCCTGAGGTGGAAACAGAACAACATTTTCTGGAGTGCCCTCTTCTGACTGTAATAGGGAATGAACAGTTCAACAAGACATTTTTAAGGGGCATACCTCGCAGTAGTGGTATGCGCACAAAGAAAACAAATCACCCTTGTTTTCTGTGGTCCAGTGTACATGGTTTGTAGAGTCTATAACTCATGAGACAAACGTTTACCTTAATCCTATTAGGATAATCCAGAATTCCACTGCTGAAGTCTTCCAGTCACATGTGGAAATAACTGTTTTTCTATAGCTGTCTTTTTTTTTTTTTGCTTTGTGTAAATTTCTGTTACAAAGTACACAATTACAACAAAAAATGGATTCCTAAAAAAAATGAACTGCTCTACATGCACATTGGAGGCATACATACAGTAATGGCCCTCCAACCATCACGGGAATGATGGAAATAAGATGCAAGAAAGCAAGCTGGGTGTGTAGCGGTAAACACAGATCGTGGCCCATTTTAAGATTCATGGCATACACATCTAATATTTATCTTTATCTTTGCTTTACACCGGTTAACCAAAAAATAAAATACAGCGTGTCATCTGAAAACTTATTAGTCAAGCCTAAATTAAGCATGGGGGTGTCCACAAACTCTCCAGCTCCATGCACATCCCATGTGTTTTACTGAAGCCACCAGTTAGTAATCATGTGAGTAAGTGTTAGTTTTGTTAGTCCTCCGTGCACGAAAGAGTTTAAGCTATGTGCAGCAGCACGGGGGGAGCAAGTAGCAGTCCCAGCCATCCGATGCCAGCAAGCTTGCCCTTACCAACGCCGGTTGTACAGTTGTGCTGCTCTCGTTCCCCATGGTTCAGCCAGCTGTGGGCCCACAACTGCCCAAACCAACAGCCTCTCACATCTGCTGACTGAAAGACACCAGCACAGAAGAACCATCAGCTATTCCCAGAGAGATATCGAGCAGACAGGGGACCTGTGACCCCTCAGTGGTCACAGACTCATGCTCCACAGGATTAGAGGTCTCTGGTACGAGGTTGAACAAGCAGGGAGGGAGAATGGTAAGTGTGTGTGTGCGTTGTTTTAGAGATTAGGAACCTGTGATGCAAGACCTCCCTCCCAGACCAAAGTGCAGGTTTAACCTCTGCTGATGTGGGCTTAAAAGTAGGAACATCATCGTCTAGAATAGCCATCTTGTAATTATAAAAGTTGATTGTAGGGATTGCTTTAAGGGTACAAATTCAATTCCTGCTGCAGCAAATTACTATACCACCAGACCCCCCCTCTGGTCAAAATGACCTCAAACAAATGGCATAGCCTCCTAGAATAAAAACATCTTCACATGCTGTCTGTCACTACGTGCTTACTGACACAATGACTGAGGATGGGTAATCTCGTAAAGTAAATGTGGTAAATCACAGATTGTGGTGTCTCTTGGCTGGCTGCAGTGTATTAAAATGATCCAGGAGCATCTCTAATCCAGTTTGTCACCACCATATAAACAGAATATTTTAGAAAGACATACAGAAACACAGGTTATATCCCTTTCATAACTTGATCAAACATTCTCTGATCATCCTTCTTTTTCTCATAAGAACATGTCTATGTTGTATGAGTTGCTGCTAAGTGGTAAACACACAGAAATGTTGTTTGTGCATTCCTCATATGACTGCAGGGACTGTACGGTAGCTCTGTGTGTAGTAAGAAAGCACTGACCTGAATATGTAAGGCTTTATAAATAGAGATCTGTCCTGTCCACTGCTGTTAGACTTTATTCCAGTTTTGTGCACAATTTGTCACCCACACTTAATTTCCAAACAAATGCAGAGGTCCTATACTCTAGTTATGTGCAATCATTAATTCCATCTGTGCTTATTTTCTGTTCCTTCGATTATCCCACATGAAAATTAACATCTGTAGTTGCCCTTAAATCTTAATTCGCACTTATTTTGTGATGTGGCAACTCTTCTCCCACGTCTGCCTGCTTGCTATTTGTGTGAATGGGGTGTAATTTCAGCCCCCACACTGTGGACGCGTGTGCACTTTAACTGGGGGCAGTGTTTCAGGGGTTTTTGGCAGCACAGAAAGCACTGGGGCGAATCTTATGATTAGACTGTTGCCAGTTTTCCTCTCACCTCATCTTGGCCCGTCAATCACTCAACATGATCCATCTTTTAATCTTGTGAGCTTGGACGAGCACCGTATGTCTTTGCTTAGATACCAACAGTATGAGGTTACTGTTTCCTGTCCTGCATCTGACCCCTGGCACAAAAACCCAGCAGGAACACAACCTCCAAACTTAACAGAATATTGTATTTCTCAGGTAATATACATTATATAATTCAACAAGGTAAAAGACCAAGGAGAGCGGGTGAACACAGCACAGTAGAGGTTGTGGTTTAATCCATGTTCATCTACCTGACCAAGGCAACTCTAGTAAATACATTGAAAACATCATACTACATCAAACAAGATGTTAATAAAAATAAAATACAGTCACACAAATTTCCTTTCAACAATTCATTAACAATGCCCCCATTACCCTTTGTCCCTCCATTTTCAGATGTTGACCCTCCTCCATCTAAAGCACTACTATATACCAAACAAATCATTCAAAATCTGTACCAGTGCTGCAACTCATAAACTACTCACCCCTGCAAACAAGAGACTTTTCCACACACAGTGACTGCCTCAAGCTTTTGACAAATCCCTTCAGCCTGTGTTTACTGTCGGACTCTAGGCCAATTTTTGTTTCTGTCCTCTCTACTGCGGAGCCCCGGTCCCTCTGTTGCTATTTTTGCCGAGTGGGAGGAGAGGACGGAGGGTGGACACAGGACAGGGACAGAAGTGGGGACATGACCAAGGGGAGGGGGCAGAGGGGAGGAGGCCGAACTGGAGCTGTGGAAGCCATGTTTGCTTAGGGTGATGATGGTGGGACCGGGGGGGGGTCACCTGCTCTGACAGGCTCAGGGGGCCTGGCAGTCAGCTGGAGGGGACCTTACTTCTATGGCAACATTGTAAATAAACAGGAGGACGAGGTGTCAGAGCTCCTCGCTCCCTGACTGATGTCATGAAAGGCTGCAGATGCTGTTATAACATTCATCCCACCTGTAGCTTTCCTTTACATTATCCTCTTAACTTCAGTGTGGTGACGCTCTTTCAATGCCTTCCCTTGAGTTAAAGACACTTGCACAACCACAAACCTGCTGTACACAAAGCCACCAATGACATGCAAACATGAGCCAAATTTACAGATTTGGACTACAAAGAGTATGAAATGTACTTTGGAACATTTTTAATCTAATCATCACAGGCCATCTTCAGCTGAGTGCCCAGTCTGTGGGCACAGCAGGCTTATTATCATCTCTATAAATAACACTGATTTGATCAGCTGACAGACGACACAGCATCACAATTCGTAAACATTATTGTTCCCTCCCATGTTGCCTTGCCAGTTATCTCCCATCTCAACTGCCATTGTCTTTCATCTAAATTAATCTAATACATGCACACTATCCACTCCCTTTAGGATTTGCCAACCCGCCTTCATCTTCCTGCACTACAATCACCCTCTCACTTTTACACTCCTCACTTCCCTCACCCCGTGATCTCCATCTCCACAGCTCCTTTTCTTTGCTGACGTCGCCCCTCCTTCAACACTAAGAGTGCACCTTCTCTCTCTCTGCCTTTGTCCTGGAGTAAAAGACACTTGACCAGTAAAATCTATTCCAGCTCCTCTTGTCCGCTCTCTCTTCTCAGTCACACAGGCATTGATGCAACGCTGCAGACAGCCTCTGTTCAGCATACTCCCTCTCCTCTGTTTACCTGGCGGTGTGGGATTCCGATGCAGCCCCCCATCTTGTATTCCATGTCCTCCTCTGGCGAAGTGACTCTGGCACTACACGGCTGGCAGAGCACCTTTCTGCAGAACTGCATCGTTATCAGTCAGTCTCAGCATTGCCAAGGCAGGCACATCTCTGCTGAAGCTACAGAGTGAGTGTGTGCTCGCCTCTGTGTCTGTACGAGTGTGTGCCTCAGTGACTAATGCATGCTCTGCACTGCATTGCCCGTGGTGCGCCTGTGACATATATTTTCAAGCCAATGTTATATAAAAAATCTCAATTACATAAGGAATCCAGCCTAATCAAATGATTGTGAAAAAGCTTCTCCTTCCAGCCTCATATGCAGCTTTGCCTCACATCACTGCACGGGTGAGCAGACTGAATCACTGCTTTGGAGGGAAAAAATGCTCAAGAGAGAGAGCAGAAGAGATGGGAGGCAGCATAAAGGATGCCTGTCCCTTTAAAAGACCCAGGAGATGGCAAAGATGATGGTGGTAAATTATCATCATGAGAATCTACGTTACCACCAGTGTTTTCATCCAACAAAATGTAATCATAGTGAAGCTCACTCAGCCAAAATAGAGCAGGAGTAATGATTACAGCAAAAACAGAATTTATCGTTTTGTCTTGTTTGCTCTAGTCCTCCATTCACTACATATTTGTACAATGAGAACAGAAACATGGATCGTGACAACAGATTTTTCCAACTCACCGCAAGACTCAGTTGAACCACCTATAGTGGTATTTTCTTGATAATGAAAATTACACAATTGAGAAATTTTCTGGACTTTCTAATTCCCTCTACATATTTGTCAAAAAGCCCCATATACAGTAGCTGTGGTAAAGGTATAGAAACAAGAAACAAGCACATCATCACAAGGCCAGAGGTTTTCTGTGATCATTCAATCTCAAATCAAATCAACCTTAAAGTTGTGCATCATTCCTACTATAAGGCAGCGGTTCCCAACATTTTAAGCTTGCATACTAGCTGTAAGGTTTGGGTGTGCCATTTATCAATAAAACATTGTTCCAATTGCAAAAACCCTTCTGTAAAGTAATCTAATCAAGAGGTTAAAAAAAGAATATTATTTATTAGCCATATTGGTATATATAGTAAATTATGTTGAGACATTCTACAGAATTAATTTGATGATGATGTACAAATGCTATAAATAAATTAAAACAAAAACAGTTGTCTCTTCTTTCTCTTTTATTATTTAAACTTCTAAAAGCAGTAAAAAAATATTTAAAACAAAATGTGCAATTCAGTAATTAGGTCACTCTGATATGTGTTTACAAGTGTGACCTACACTGGGACTTGGCATTTGCAAATTCCTAACAAATCTTTATTATTTAGAAATTTTAAAAAACCAAAAAAACAGTAACACACTTAAAAACAACGGTTTCAGCTAACAAAAAAGTGTCAGAGTCCGTCACTCATCCTGCGTGTTTGCCGGGTGAATCATTGTGTCTTTGATGTCGAAGGCATCTACGAGCTCCTGGGAAAGAACAGTTTCAACAATAAAATTATGACCAAAGACACAAAACAAGATGTTGTAATAGCAGGTCTTGTATTGTTGCTAGATTAAAGTATTCTGTGTTCAGGCCAATACGTGCTAACCTTCCACGTCTTTGGGCTGATAGAAACGATGCACTGTTTACGACTGCATGACCCTCCAGCTTCCACCTCCCCCTCCTCTACAGGCGCTGAGACACAAAAACAGACAACACTGGTAAAACAATTTACCTGAAAGACATTTTCTTTGTCATTCTCCCAGTCAGAATAACATAACTAAATGTTACATCTTCTCACCTATACAAGGCAATTCGGCATTATCCAGATACATCCGTGCCAAACCATCCTGAAACACAAACAACAGTGTCACACCTGCAAACAGTTACTAGAGGGCAAACAACTTGCGTGAGCACAGGCAGCTCACCCTGATTAGGAAAGACGTGTGGAAAATGTTCTCTACAGTCCGGGAAAACGAGTTGGGGTCAATGACAAACTCGTAATAGGATATTGGTGAAGTTGCTGTGGTAGAAACAGAGACAAGTGAGCAAATAATGATTATAAAAGGATGAAATGTTAAAGTCTGCGAGGTCGACTTGAAACTCACGATCATCTTGGTAGTAACTCTTCAGGTATCCCAGGATCCTTTCCACCTCTTTCTCGGTCGCTTCTTGATGGGAGTCTTCCATTTTCTTCAGCTGACAAACAACAATAACATGATGCAGTGAGCACCTGCGCCATCAAAACCCTCCTAATCCAAACATATGGAAATACTGTCTCCAACTATAAAATGAAAACCTGCATTCTGAGAAAAACAAGTGTCTTTGGAACTAAACCTTGTTACTGATTATTATAAAATCTGTAGATTTCATATATAAAATACACGATTTGATTATAAGTACTAAAAAACCGACAACTTAGTCACTTCTGTAGGGTGATAGGAGGTTGCTACAATTACATTTAGGGGTATCTTAGAAACTTCATTATTATCTAATTATTAATATTACAATACTTGTAAAGTCCCAGTCACATCAAGTGTCGATAACTGTAGCCATGGATGTGTAGGTTTAGCTACCTGAGTAGGCATTATCCTTTTAGCTTCCTTGCCGGGTAGCTTCCTTTGCCGTTCTGTCCTTTGCTTCGGTGGAGGCGGCTCTGCATGGAACGAACCCATCCTGATAAAAAGGACCACAGGAATGAAAAAGTCAGTGACAACACTGCTAAAATACTGCCATGGGATGGTAACAAACCAGTGAAAATGCAATAATTAACCAATAAATAATAGTAGTGATAATAAACCTGTTTAAACTCTAAGAAAAGTTTCAACACAAGTTCATAGGTTTTAAATTGTAGGCTTCATGTGGGCTCCCTTCTTTGAGGGTTAATTGTAGGGTTTTGATCGCGACACCACGACTGTGCCTTTCCCATCATCAGTGGTGGTTTCAAAATACCCTTGCACGTCACATGCTAATGCACTCACATGTAGTGGAAGGAGGGTGCCGTCCTGAAGCAGCACTCTGCTCTCCTGGCCACTCTGTGCCAAGCATCTTGAGGCAGGTAGCCATCAACAGCACCTCCGTTCTGCTGCTCGTCCTCCCCGTCTTCCAGTCGGTTGAGACCCATGAAGGACAACTGTGTGAGAAGATGAGATATCTCCACATACCCACTGCAATGTATACTGCCTCAGAAGTCGCATTACAAACAAACATATTCTAAATATAAAAGTGTTATGAAAATAAGGCTGTATGAGTGTCCATCTCTGTCCAAAACAGGATCACTCGACTTCATACAAGTAGTACTTGTCCCGATCAAAATGTTTTTATATGTAGTTATAATGCATGTACGCAATAAACTCACTCACAAGGTGCTCAGCAAAAGCAGTGGGATCAAAAGCAGTGCCCTCGGCGAACAGTTGGCTGGCTTTTTCCTTTCCCAGGTCTGTGGCCACAACAAGGAGCTGGGCATCGAGTGCTGCTTCTCTCGCCTGCCGGACTGCCAAGGAACACAGTTAAAATGAAATTGATCAAACAGCAGGGCTGCGTGATGATATGTCATTTGGGTTTGAACTGTTGGATACTACAAATTCAAAGTTACATTATTTGTAAATGAGCGATTTAAGCTGCGTTTCCGCCAAAGGAACTATACCCCGGAACTAGGAACCTTTGGAGGAAGTCAATGCGTTTCCACCAAAGGGACCAGGGTCTAAATTTAGTTCTAGGGTCTTTATTTACCCCCAAAAAGTCCCTGCTCAGGGAGTAGCACTTTCCGAAAGTACCGGTACTTTGGGAGGGGAATTTCTAAATGGGCGAGTAGAGGCTACTGGCTTTAACTGGAGAATGTCGGGTGTTTTTCTACGATTGCTCCTCTCTTTTCCACTGTTGATTGCAAACCAATAAATTACAATCAACAGTCCACACAAGTCTCGCCAATGTCCGCCTGAGATCGTACGTCAGCATTAAATGTATTGCTTGGAAATAGCAGCCAGCGTGCAGCAGTGTGTTTACAGCGAAAAGCTGATGCAGCTATGCTAAATACTGGTTCCGAAGTTGTTGTTTTAAGTTTTCATCAATCAGGAAGTTTTTACACAGAGCCGAAAGTTGATCTCCTCTCCAAAACAGCGCCCGTTATCCCGTTCCTCTGACGCTCAGGCGACACAGACGTGAGTCTGGCCAGCTGATCTGCAGCTCTTGTCGGCTGGTAATGTTGTAATAACCTTCCAAACTGTCGCAATTTTATTTTTTTATTTTTGTGTTTCTTTCTCTATGCTTGAGAGCCACTATGAGTTATTTTAAGAACTTAATATGGCTTTTTGTTTGTTATTAAACTTTATTGTGTGTCTCTCCATTATACTCCCACACAAAAAAAGCTGCTTTAATGGTCATGCAAAGCCTGTGTTTTTTCACTATATTCCAATCAAATCTGATGTTCATTTATAAATTTTACTCATGGATAGTGGTTACAAATCATGATGCCTGTGCATCGCTTTGTACAGTGTACAGGCCTGCAGCCTACATCAGCTGGTTAATTTGCCTAATCTTCACAGGTCTTTAGACCACGATGGAAACGCACACAACAGTGGGCTGAAGGAGGTCTTTTGGTTGAAACGTGGCTTTAAACTGTCAATTGACCTGCATGTGCCAGGACTGTGGGAGGAAAGCGGAGCACCCAGGAGAAACTCCTGCTCCTCTTCCTAAGCATATTTATTCCAAAGCTAGTAGTAAGAATTTGCTCTGATTGAGAAGTTTCTTGCGGCTTTACTGAATGCACAATCTGTCCAGCCATCTTTACAGGCACTGTCATTGCCCAAGTTCAACACTTCTGTTGCTGGAGCACACCTACCATCTTTAAAAAGTTTGTTTGCCTCTTCTAAAACTTCTGTGAGTTTGTTGTTTGAGGGACTCAGCATATCTTCCCTATTTTCTGGAAAGAGAGCAAAAACAAGAAGGAAACACATCAAAGACATGTCAACTAATAAACAACAACGTGCCTCCCCCAACCTGCCTATCCGTCTTCACTCACGTTGCACTGAGTTGATGAGGTCTCTGTATTTGCTCCGTATTTCTCTTCTGAGCCCCGGGTCATTGTCGTCCTCTTGCAGATCTGCTGGGCCGAAGGCAGAGCCAGCGTCGCCCCCGTCACTCTGCTGTTGGTCTCCTTTCCTCCGGCCAGCAGTGCCATTCTGCCGGGGAGCTTCCTCATCACCACCGCTCCTGGCTCTCTTCATCTTTTGTGTCAGTTTAATGGACGAGCTGTGTGTTGTGAGAGGGAAACACGTTGACGCAAAACGTGTGCACTATAAACAAAGCATGTTTATGTTTGCGAGTGTTATAGCTAATTAACTACCTTCTGACAACACGCCTTGACGAAAGAGCGTATAGACAATCTGACTCTGGATTTCGAGGCCAAGCTGTTTCACGTTATTTTAAACGTTAAACTTAAGATAGCCGGTTTAAGTTTAGCCAAAGACGTTAGAAAAGCCAAGATAAAGCATCCGCTACTCTAGCTTATTTACAGGATAAGCTGAGCCAAGCGCAAAAGGCGATTAAATTCCTGTGATTGGCAATTTATAACGTCAATGCATTTGACTTTTACTGGTGTCGGACTGCATACATACTACATGAGAACTAATCCTAGCTAACGTTTGCTAACGTTGCTGCAAATCGATATTACTACTTAACGCTAGCGTTGTCTGATCAGCTAACGTTAACGGTGCACAGCCTTGACGTTAACGTTACTGTGAACACGAACTCGCTAACACAACTGCGAATAATCTAACACGCTACAAACAAACATCACAGCTAAAATATTTAAAAACAAAATAAAATTCAAATAAAAACCCTGATCTACCAGCCAAATCAGAAACAAACGTCTCCCGGGTCAGCGGCTAACGCAAACACGGAAGTGCTACAGAGTGTACCATCTCGTTTCAGTCTTCTGCATCTTTGGTCTGTATGAGCGGTAACTTAGCCGACGTTAGCTATCAAAATCAGTTGTGTTAACAAGTTAGCTGAACGATAAGACTTTCGACTCTCCTGCCCAAGCAAAGGTCACCCTTACAGCAAACTCATACATGCTGTAGTTGCCGTTAAAGTACATATTATCCGGTTTTCTTCAGATAACTTCAACATACCTGAGGACCAGACAGGCGCGCCAGGAGCGTTTCTTCAATAACTACGACGAAGTTAGTGCTGTATTGGTACTTTCTTAGTGGAAAGGAAACTGAAACTTGCGATGAAATGGGAAGTTATACTTTATTATTATTATTATTATTTTTATTGTTGGCAAATTTCAAGACAATAAGATCAATCACTACATGTAAACTTGGGACCCATAACACCTCTACTGAATGTGAAATGCGTTTGTCAACATTTTAACACAGTCACACTGTTGTGGTTGCTGAAGGCTGAAGGCTTTAGGAAAAAAAATAAAAATAATAATAACACATTGTTTTACTTTCATGCTGCTACATTTTACAATAAAATTGAACAAACCTCTCTTTTAATAAAGCGCCTTCTTGTGGCCCATGTATGGACAAGAATCCCCTGAATAATCCAGGTAAGCTACTCATCATAGCTTCAAAATAAAAAAAGACGTTCCACACAGATTCTTGATTGGAAGGCTGGTATAAATACAAAATATTTCTTTTTTCCCACAAACCTGTTGACGTTTCAAATCAAATTTCCTCCTCTGAATGTCCAATTTACAAATGTCTGACCAATGTGGAACTGACTTCAGTTGTGTTAAATAGCTGCAGTCAAAACACGTCAGTAACGGGATCCAGGTTTCCTTACCGGCAGATGTCGCGCTAATACTGAATACAGATGCTGGTCATATAATTAGAATATCATCAAAAAGTTGATTTATTTCAGTAATTCCATTCAAAAAGTGAAACTTGTATAATGTATACATTCATTCCACACAGACTGATATATTTCAAGTGTTCATTCCTTTTAATTTTGATGATTATAACTGACAACTAATGAAAACCCTCAAATCAGTATCTCAGAAAATTAGAATATTGTGAAAAGGTTCAATATTGAAGACACTTGGTGCCACACTCTAATCAGCTAATTAACTCAAAACACCTGCAAAGGCCTTTAAATGGTCTCTCAGTCTAGTTCTAATAGGCTACACAATCATGGGGAAGACTGCTGACTTGACAGCTGTCCAAAAGATGACCATTGACACCTTGTACAAGGAGGGCAAGCTCTGTGTCCACGCACATTAATAGAGAGGCGAAGGGAAGGAAAAGATGTGGTAGAAAAAAGTGTACAAGCAATAGGGATAACCACACCCTGGAGAGGATTGTGAAACAAAACCCATTCAAAAATGTGGGGGAGATTCACAAAGAGTGGACTGCAGCTGGAGTCAGTGCTTCAATAACCACCACGCACAGACGTATGCAAGACATGGGTTTCAGCTGTCACATTCGTTGTGTCAAGCCACTCTTGAACAAGACACAGCGTCAAAAGCGTCTCGCAAAGACAAAAAGGACTGGACTGCTGCTGAGTGGTCCAAAGTTATGTTCTCTGATGAAAGTAAATTTTGCATTTCCTTTGGAAATCAAGGTCCCAGAGTCTGGAGGAAGAGAGGAGAGGCACAGAATCCACATTGCTTGAAGTCCAGTGTAAAGTTTCCACAGTCAGTGATGGTTTGGGGTGCCATCTGCATGTCATCTGCTGGTGTTGGTCCACTGTGTTTTCTGAGGTCCAAGGTCAACGCAGCCGTCTACCAGGAAGTTTTAGAGCACTTCATGCTTCCTGCTGCTGACCAACTTTATGGAGATGCAGATTTCATTTTCCAACAGGACTTGGCACCTGCACACAGTGCCAAAGCTACCAGTACCTGGTTTAAGGAACATGGTATCCCTGTTCTTATTGGCCAGCAAACTCGCCTGACCTTAACCCTATAGAAAATCTATGGGGTATTGTGAAGAGGAAGATGCGATACGCCAGACCCAACAATGCAGAATAGCTGAAGGCCACTATCAGAGCAACCTGGGCTCTCATAACACCTGAGCAGTGCCACAGACTGATCGACTCCATGCCACGCCGCATTGCTGCTGTAATTCAGGCAAAAGGAGCCCCAACTAAGTATTGAGTGCTGTTGAGTCATGTTCATACTTTTCAGTTGGCCAACATTTCTAAAAATCCTTTTTTTTTGTATTGGTCTTAAGTAATATTCTAATTTTCGGGGAGATACTTAATTTGGGATTTTGATTAGTTGTCAGTTTTAATCATAACAATTAAATTAAATAAACATTTGAAATATATCAGTCTGTGTGTAATGAATAAATATAATATCCAAGTTTCACTTTTTGAATGGAATTACTGAAATAAATCAACTTTTTGATGATATTCTAATTATATGACCAGCACCTGTAAGTATCAGCTGTAAGGCTGCGATAGAAGCACTGAGAGAGGAACTGCACTCTTCAGAGCCAGATCACCCCCATATAGACAGGGCCTTTCCGAAAGTAGTTGCCACTCCCTCCCACCACCTGCTCCCACTCCGTTTGCGATAGACAATACTGATAGACGGTACAACTGTTTTTATCTTATTGATCTCATACTAAATTATTCAGCCAAAACAAAAGTAGGCTACATAAAATGACACAACTAGATACACAGGGGCGTCGCATAACAAGCAACAAAGGCATTAAAGAAAACTATTTAAATCTTTACACATTTTACCAGTTTTAATTGTTTTACTATTCTTTAGACCTGATGATGTTTCAAGATAATGTCTGATTTCTATTTTGAAATTACATTAAATTTATTTTAAGAAATATTGTAATTCTAATCAAAATAATTTGGTAAATATACAGTCATAAAATGAATGAAAGTTTCAGTTTCGTTATTGCAAAACACACACTTTTCTACAACATCAATCCTGAATCTTAATACAACTGTTTGTTTGATACAGGTGCGTGATTGTGCCGCTGTAACATAAGATCAGTTCGTCCAGAAGTTGGCTGCTGTATTATTGCCCTACATGTTAACTAAGGGAACTAGATTTGGCAAGAGTAGGCCTACACGCTATGACGGAGTGGAAGTGGGGACAATCTAGTTTCAAAAGGCCCCAACTCTCCCCCCTCCCATTCAACAAGCTCCAGCACCAGACACACAGAGGCAGAAGGGCTTCAATTGTAAACTTTTACTGAGACATAAGGTGCTTTCTCATTTCTCTGTTTGTGCCTCATTGCACCCATGCCAGTAAAGGAGGCATGAGGAGAGAGGAGTCGAGGCAACAGGTATTTAATACAATGAGATGTCCTTTCCTAGGATTCATCATTTTAAAGCATCTCAGTTAAATATGATGTGTAGCATCAGCTGCACCATTTGTCCATTGTTTTGTAACAGCCTGTCAGGTGAGCAGACCAGCTGTCTACACCAGTAGGCTGCATACAGTGAGGAGTGAGTGAGTATTTGAACACCATGCCATTTTGCAAGTTCTCCCACTTAGAAATCATGGGGGGGTCTGAAATTGTCATCGTAGGTGCATGTCCACTGTGAGAGACATAATCTAAAAAAAAAAAAATCCAGAAATCACAATGTATGATTTTTTTAACTATTTATTTGTATGATACAGCGGCAAATAAGTATTTGAACACCTGAGAAAATCAATGTTAATATTTGGTACAGTAGCCTTTGTTTGCAATTACAGAGGTCAAACGTTTCCTGTAGTTTTTCACCAGGTTTGCACACACTGCAGGAGGGATTTTGGCCCACTCCTCCACACAGATCTTCTCTAGATCAGTCAGGTTTCTGGGCTGAGAAACACGGAGTTTGAGCTCCCTCCAAAGATTCTCTATTGGGTTTAGGTCTGGAGACTGGCTAGGCCACGCCACAACCTTGATGTGCTTCTTACAGAGCCACTCCTTGGTTATCCTGGCTGTGTGCTTCGGGTCATTGTCATGTTGGAAGACCCAGCCTCGACCCATCTTTAATGCTCTAACTGAGGAAGGAGGTTGTTCCCCAAAATCTCACAATACATGGCCCCGGTCATCCTCTCCTTAATACAGTGCAGTCGCCCTGTCCCGTGTGCAGAAAAACACCCCCAAAGCATGATGCTACCACCCCCATGCTTCACAGTAGGGATGGTGTTCTTGGGATGGTACTCATCATTCTTCTTCCTCCAAACACGGTTAGTGGAATTATGGCCAAAAAGTTCTATTTTGGTCTCATCTGACCACATGACTTTCTCCCATGACTCCTCTGGATCATCCAAATGGTCATTGGCAAACTGAAGACGGGCCTTGACATGTGCTGGTTTAAGCAGGGGAACCTTCCGTGCCATGCGTGATTTCAAACCATGACGTCTTAGTGTATTACCAACAGTAACCTTGGAAACGGTGGTCCCAGCTCTTTTCAGGTCATTGACCAGCTCCTCCCGTGTAGTTCTGGGCTGATTTCTCACCTTTCTTAGGATCACTGAGACCCCACGAGGTGAGATCTTGCATGGAGCCCCAGTCCGAGGGAGATTGACAGTCATGTTTAGCTTCTTCCATTTTCTAATGATTGCTCCAACAGTGGACCTTTTTTTCACCAAGCTGCTTGGCAGTTTCCCCGTAGCCCTTTCCAGCCTTGTGGAGGTGTACAATTTTGTCTCTAGTGTCTTTGGACAGCTCTTTGGTCTTGGCCATGTTAGTAGTTGGATTCTTACTGATTGTATGGGGTGGGCAGGTGTCTTTATGCAGCTAACGACCTCAAACAGGTGCATCTAATTTAGGATAATAAATGGAGTGGAGGTGGACATTTTGAAGGCAGACTAACAGGTCTTTGAGAGTCAGAATTCTAGCTGATAGACAGGTGTTCAAATACTTATTTGCAGCTGTATCATACAAATAAATAGTTATAAAATCATACATTGTGATTTCTGGATTTTTTTTCCCTCCATGATTTCTAAGTGGGAGAACTTGCAAAATGGCAGGGTGTTCAAATACTTATTTTCCTCACTGTAAAGGCTACAGATCATATCTTCACAATCCAGAAACATGTCTGTCAACATTATGACTTGTAGAAACATCTCGAGGTGGCGATATTATTTAACATTTATAACATTATAGTATGTTGAAAGCAACAACAGTCACAGATTACAGTATCATGCACTACATAGAAATCCAGATGAACATTGTGAATAGCGGGTGGGGGAAATAAGGTGAAACATCTCCCCATTTAGAAATTAGCTGTGCGCATTTATTCATGAAGCACAGCAGCATAACTTTATATTATTATCCCGACACGCTGACAGGATCGGTCAGTATCTAATGTTCATTGTGTTATTCTACACATCCAAACAGTTTCACACAGTCTCGGTTCATACTGAAACTGGAGCAAAGCTCCTGTCCACCAGATCCGTCCCTGAACTTCATCACAGTGTCTAAACATGTAGCTTATTTCAGAAGTGTAAAGTTGAAATCTGTTTCCTCTGGATAGTTTCCTCTGATTTTTTTTGTTTTGCTGCTTAGGCCTAACGTCCCATGATATTTGCGGTGACATTACTTAAACATGGAAAACTTTCAAATGACTGTCAGCAGATTCTCATTGAAATAGCCTAAATCATTAAAGAAAACACGCATAGCGTACATCAGTACAGCACACAATTAAGAAATCACCTGAAAAGCTACAGGCTCCTCAAGGTGCATTTTAGGAATTGAGATGTCCTTCAAGATGGCATGCTGAGATCGATTTCCAGGTTACAGGCAGGAGGCCAGAGGATCGAGGAGGCACAAAACAGAGAAATGAGAAAGGCCTAGAGAGTAGCCCTGGAGCTCTTGACCAAGGCTGAGCTGGGATCACCCAGACAAATTAAAATCCACACAGGCGCCAACGACATACATTTGTACACGAAAGTTTCTAATATATAGAAATATTTGAATATTTAATTGAACTTTAGCTTGGTGCTGTTATTATTTGTGTTTATCTTGTTTTTAAATCAGAAGACATTTAAAGATGAAATCGTTTCAGATAATGTTGGAACATTTAGGGCATCAGATCACCTGCTTTTTGGATTAAAAAGCAGGTGATCTGATGCTGATAAAATTAAAAGACTCACGCTCTTACTTACAAGACATGATACAGAGGAGACAGTTCCACTGGTTGTCCTCACGATTACAATGAGATTATTATTCCATCAAATAAACTCCAAACAGTCCTCTATGGTAGGGACTCAGGAGGCATGATTATTTGGCATAGATCAGAACTAACCCATTCAATCGAAATGTGAAAAAAGTAGAAACAAGATCAAAAAGGATGAAATCTTTCAAAACTTAAAAAATGCATTGGATTTGTAGTAGAGAACAAGAGCTGTTAACCGTTTGTGTACCAAATACATTGACTAGACGATGAGGGACAACACTGGTTATATTTAGCTTATTGTTTTAATCAAAATTATTGCTAGGGACAATTCAGTAGTTGCTGGATACTGGTAGGTGCATGCCCCTACAGCCCCTAAATTCTATGTCCTTAAGATGTTTTTCCTATTCTAGGTCGGAAAAAACATTTTAAACCTATTGGTGCTAAAGGTGCAAGTCTGTGGAGACCTGCTTTCCTCTCCTTGAATTCCCCCCTAGACGCAATTTTGATAAAGCTTGCAAATACAAGTGCTACCCAGCGTCTAGCTCTGTGGGCTACATGCCAGTAGTCAATGGTAGATTAGGAGGAGACTCTCTGGGCCATTACACACTAAGTTCTTGGCAGTAGTACAATATACTAGGTCTGCCACAACAGATCTGGATCTATTGTCTTGAGCGTTCACAGTCAACCCACTCACACTACATCAGATTTCAGTTAAGATTACTGTATTTGAAGAGGGCACACGCTAGCTATGATAGCCCTAAAGCCAGTAAACTGTAGGCCTACAACATCACATATTCATTTAGACGGAAATCAGACAGCATGCAGAGCTACCAAAAGGCATTTGAAAATCCCCAAATCCAATATTCAATAGATTTCTCTCTCTCTAAAATGTTTCTTCATAATAATGATGGTGTAGGCTGCACTTTAGCGTAAGCTGTGGATAAGATTAATGGCATGTCTGATTAATTGACAGTTATTAGATTTTAATTTCTCTAATGATTGCAAAAATATAAGGAAAACTTTGAGAAAGTTATTAAACTAGAAAGAGACCCAACCAAACGATAGGCCTTCATTACTTATTATTAATAGTTTGTAATAATTAGGCTATATATAGGTATTTTTTGTATATATCAGTCAACCTGGATGGTAGCGTATAGCCTATGACATTTATCTTGGTAAAACCTGACTAATAGCCTTGATATTATTTGATTTGGAAATAAATTTTTTATATCCCATAAACCTGACAGGGACTGCAGATGACAATGAGCCTGTAAGGCTAAATCTGGCACACTTAAATGGATGACTCAAGTGCTCATGTTACATAATTTTTGTAATGTGCATTGTCCTTTCTTACTCAAAATAAAATAAACAAAAACACAGCGTGAACACGCACGCACACACGCACACACACACACACACACACACACACACACACACTAACAACTTCACCTTCCAGTCTTTCACAAACACACACATAGAGCACTGGATTCTGCTCTGCTCTTGATTTTATGAATTGTACCTTTGTTTTTTAAGCATACTGAATTGAATTGAAGTGAGAGATCCGCCCTGAAAGTGAGGCTTTGTACTAAAATATTGTAGTGGCGGCATATATTTCTATGCTTCATACAATGGCACAAGAGGTTTTTATTATTTTTATTTTGTTTTGGTATTAAAAGAAGTTAACAGGGGTTTATTCAAAGGTAGGTGATATACACCTATAGATTTGAGAAAATGTACCTTAAAATAATTGCACAACAGTTAAGTTATTGATCTAAGGCCTAGAAAATGCAGAACTTGTCCCTTTTTTCATGATATATCATCACTGTGGTGGTTTTAGGCTTCTTATTTATCACTATTATTGATTATCATACATAGCTTATTATGCTTACGCCTACGCTATTAATTATTTTACTCACTAATAGCCTAATGTTAAATTAGCCTATAAAGCCTATTTGGCTAAGACATGAGGTCTTTTATTTAATGTTTTCTCCCATTAGTGTAAATAAAGCTGTCTTTAAATGTCTAGAGGAAACATGTCAAGCCTCAGCAGCTGAGGTAGAGACAGTGACTGTCGCCTGGAAAGCCGCAGCTAATCCCCCCATGACCTCTCCGTGCCGGGAAGCTGAAAGACAGTGGAGGAACATGGGAGCAGAAGCAGTACTGACCCCAGGTAACTAAACTGTTGTTTTATCATGGGGGAGCTGACGTCCACCTCTCCTGGGCCCTGCTTGGACCTGAACAACTTTGACTCGGCCAGAGCGCAGAGGAGTCCGTATGTTTTAACGAGCCCCCGCTCACTGGAGTCCTGTGCACGGCTCGGTGTCAAACCTGTTGAACTTCTGATTAAATCGTTAAACGAGGTGATAGCTGAACAGAATGACGTGCCCTTTGAAGCAATGAGAGTTATGCATGATTCCTACGAAAAAGAGAGAATGAAGCGTTTACAAATGTGCCGTGTGGAGAGGGAGAGGATTATCCAGGCGGCTGGGGACAGGTGGCCAGGCAGTGATAAAGTGTCAGACCTGGAAGTGGTGCCTGACAAGAAACTGAAGGGTCACTCAACGGACGGACAGACAACCAGGTCCATGCCATATGCAGATCTGTGCTTGAAAGGGAAATCTGTGAGCAGGTCTTCCTGTTCGGTTGTTGGTAACAGACACCCGGACAGGAGCACGGTCTGCAGCTTCAGTCTGGGAGACCTCAGATACTCCCCAGCCACTGAGATGAAACTGGAGAAGCTCACCAAGGACATAAAAAAGGAGATGTGTGTCACAGTGTCGGAGAGAGACCGCAAGATAGCAGCTCTCATGCTGGTGAAGCACGAGAAAGAGCAGGCTTGCCTGAAGCTCTGTCAGCAAGAGAAACAGGAGCGACAGGAGGCCCGCAGGCTGGAGGAGGCGCAGCGGGCTCAGGCAGAGAAAAGGAGGAGGAAGAAGCTGAAGCAGAGTATGCAACGTTGGCATGAGGAGCTGGAGGCCCGCAGGAGGCTGAGGGAGCGACAGGAGAAAGAAAAAGCGGGACAACTTGAGCAGGAGGTGCAGCTGCAAGAAGACCGCTGGAGGAGGCTCAAAGAGGAAGTGGAGGCACAATGCAGAGAAAAGATAGAGGCTGCACAGAAAGAGGCAGAGGGGCGCAAACGCTACCAGGAGAAGCTGCTGAGAGAGAAGGAGGAGCTGGAAATGAGTGAGCGAGAGAGGGAGAGACAGGTAGCAGCGGAGAGGGAGCAGAAGGCCAGGAGGAGCAAGGAGTTGCAGAAGAAGAAGGAGAGGAAGAAGCTGCAGGAGGAAAATCGTAGAGAGCTGCTACGGCACAAACTGCTGAAACAGCAGGCAGAGCAGCAGGGGGAGGAAGAGGAGGCCCAGATGAGGAGCAGGCATGAGAGGAAGCTGCGACTCTCCTGCGAGAAACATGCCCAGGCCACCGAGGCACGGCTGAGGGAGCTGCAGGAGCGGGCGGCGCGGGAGGAGGAGCAGATTCAGAGAGCGCGGCTGAGGGCCGAGCTGCAGAGCGTCCAGGAGCTCATGCACAAAAAGACCCTGCTCCAGCAGAGCCAGCATCGCACGGAGAGAGCCGCCCAGCATGCCTCGGCACAGCAAAGGGCCAGAGCTCAGCAGACACATCAGCACAACAAACACAGGGAGCTCCGCCACCAGAGGCTGAGAGAGCAGGTGCAAAGGGAGGAGGAGGCAACAAGGAAGGTCAGGGAGAGCTGCATCTCCATGAAGGAGTGGAGGAGGGAGAAGCTGCGGAGACAGCGAGAGCAGATACAGGAGGAGGCGCACAGGCTCACTCTGGCCTCCTTCCACATGAGGGAGAGAGTTAGAAAGCAGACGCACAGTCGAACCTTTGATCAGATGGCTCTGGATGCTCAGCTGATTGCCTCCATGAGCCACATGAAACTAGGAGAGAAATGATAAACTCCCATCCTGGCTTCAGAATGACTCCCCACAGCCACACCTCTTCTCATAGGCTTCAGTACAGTTCAGGCATTAATAGCTGCACTCATCCAGAGCTGCTTAGAGCCGGAGCTGCAGAAGAATAAGGGAATTCAGAGTTCTCTTAACAACACAGAAAAACATCGCTCTTATTGGCAATCTAGGAATGCAGCAAGGAAGAACCACACAAGTATGTACATGTGAATGTTGGGGCCCAGAGCTGCGCAGGGGCCCTGGAATATGTCATGTTCACATCAGTTTTCACAACTGTGATTTTAGGGGTGTAATGACTCATAATGTCAGTTTCAGACCCCAATAAACATAAGCAATGTCTTGTGAGCCTTCGCGTCAGCTTGCATATGCCTGTGAGCTGTGAACAATACAACCAGATGGATTTTCTAGATAATATTCTATGAAATGTCAAACTTAGAGAAAAGTCTGGTAGAAAATTGCATAACAGACATTTGTTTTTGCTTAATTTTGTATCCTGTCAATCTTGCAACTATTTTGATTTATATTTGGACACCTTGCATTTGACCTCTAGGTTGAGACCCGATGCTTTACAGTACAACTACAGTAAGCTTCCATGTATAGTAAAAACAAACATCTGGCCACAGCACTGCATTGTTTTCTTAGATAAACACCTGATGATTGATTTGCTTCAACACATGCATGCAACAAGCAGTTTGCACTGTGAGTGTTCCAACATGGCGCATTGTATCATTACAGCCCTAAAATGACTGGATGGAAGATTAACTTCTACGGTTCACTTGGAAGTTGGTCCGAGTTTCCAGCCTGCAAGAAAGTCGAGCAGTGGCTGGAGAGTGAAAGTTTAAAATTGCGGTCTGTAGCCATTGGGGTGCTTGAACGCTGACATCAGTGTTTTGAATTTGATACGAGCAGCCATTAGCAGCCAGTGGAGTGCAGATAAGAGAAGTTGTGGGAGAAATAAGGGACGTTGAGGATGAGCCAAGTTGCAGTGCTCTGTATGAGCTGTGAGGGAGTAAGAAGCCAGACTAATGAGTCATGTTTAGCTGTACATTGTGTTGTTTTTCCTTATCACACTAGGTCTTTACCATATCACACTATAAAGCAGCATGTTTTAATGTTTAAAGTGGGGCAGATCAAGCAAAATGTTTACTGAAATTACAAGATTAAAGCAGAATCATAGTTCATGGACTCAAGAAGAATGTTTATACATTTATCAATAACAGCTGTTGCATGTTGACTTCAACCATCAGTGGAGTGATGCTGTATAACATATATTTTCTAACAATCAGATTGTGTTTTGTATTTTTCTCAGATTTGATAACTTTATAGTATTTGAATGTTTTGTTACATCGCAATGAATAAATCATGCTTTAAATTGTAAAATACCTTCATTCTGACATCTTGTTTCCATCTCTGTATTTAACACTGACATGGCTCTACTTAGCACACCTCCAGCTACAACAAGACACACTGGCCATTCAAAATTTAGTAGCATCAGACAGTTTACCTCTGTTTCAAAAGATGTGTTTGTGTGGGGGAAACTAAAAAGAGCAAGACGTTAAGCAGTCGACTATGCCATCATGACATGGGCAGACATGTTTTTATTAGATGTAAATATCTGCACATGCTAAAAGAAACAGCAGAAGTGATTCAAACTAGATAACTCTGATTCTTAAAGTGACACAGGCATAAATTTAGTAAGCAATCTATGACATACCCACTTGACAGCCCCAGTTGTGTACAGTACCTACTTTCAGCCACCTGCTTCTGTCTGACCCACATATTCTTTTTTACAGGTGCAAAGAGCTGCTGGACTACCTACATATTTCTGCTGATGTTCCATCTCACACCCAAGAGGCTTTATCAGTTGTTCTGATACAAACTCTCAGCTTCAAAACTATGAAACAAATTCAACGATTGCACAAAAATAGCACATCCTGTGTCCTAGTCATTTGTACTATTGCACATTGATAGACTGAAAGTCTGCACCTGATTTCAAGACCTGACTATACAAACAAACTAAGATGAAATGATTTAAAAATGTGCGACCTAGATCTCTTATTGTTTGGGTAACAGACAGTATCAAATTATTTGGTTGTTCCTGTAAATCTATCCAGTTACTGGGATTTCACTACTGAACATGCCATGAAAGGGCCTTGAGAAAGTTGATTGAATTTAAACTTGGCAACAAATGGCGCCCTTTTTGTCAGTCTTGTAATGGAAGTTCAGTCCACCGAGGACAATAGATGAGCCACAGTATCAGATTCTTGAGACACATAACTGATACACAAATAATAGCTGGACTCAAAGGCAAGTTTCACAGAGACAAAAACACACTGTGGTCAACTTTCTTCAGTGGCACGTTTTATCTGCTCCATCATCATACCATACCCAGTTTACACTGTATAGTATATAAGACAGGTTCTCCCTGTTGTCCTTTCAGGCGTGGTGGCACCATGCCATTTGTACTGAAGTTAATTGCCCTGAGCCCTGTTTTTTCTCATTCATCATGCAGCCCGAGAGCCAGCACCATCGGGAGCCCGACCCCGAGGATGAGAGTGAGGCTCTCCAGGAGCCCCAGGTGTCGCTGCTGGTGGGCCTCGACTCCAGTGTGCTGCTGGAGGTCAGAGGAGGGTTGGCCTGTCCTGCCGCTGCTGACCTCAGGGAGAACGTGCACTGTGGCCACATAGAGGAAAGTCCCAGCCGAGAAGAGCATTCCCACACCCGTCGCACTGAGCTGATTCTCAGATGAACTGCCAGACTGCAGACACAAACACATTAAATAAAAGGATACCGAGCCACCAGCTGAAACTGTATTATGACTGGGATATAATGAGTCTTCTTTTACAGACACAAGATGGCTGATGTGTGCTTTCTTACTGCGTGTAATATGAAGTAAGTGGCAATGGCAACTATAGGTGCTGCAGCTGAAAAGGCCAGTAAGTGTCCCTGAATGTACTTCTTTTCAAGGCCTGCATGCATCAGAAAGGAGACCAAACCAAAAGCTGCTGGTGCCTAGGACATACAAAAATAAAAGATGGGTCACATTTTATCATCAGCACAATGATATCTTGCTTGCTATCAGTAATACTAACTAAAATGTTATCTCCGGTGAACCTCACCTTGTGTAATATCACAGCAAAAAATACTATCACTTGCACCGTCACCTGGCCCGTGGACACAGCTGCACCCAGAGCAAATCCATCAGCTATATGCAAACAACAAAGTCTTATTAATGTTCACCGCAGTCTACTTCTCCAATGGATGTTTGTGTATTTTCTCTACAACAGCACATCAGTCTGATGGCTGTGTCTGTTTTTGCCCTGCTAAAGCTTCCAGGCAGTGCTACAGCCTCAGAAAACGGAAGTTATTTAAAAGCCTCAAACAGTGAAGAAATCACATGCTGAGTCACATGTGGACATGTGCAACTGCAGTGCTTTGTCGGGTACTTTCCATGCTGGTAGCCTGGTATTCCAGGAGACACCTTGTGTACCTTGGGCAAACACAAGTCATCAGAAATGTACAGTAAATGTTAAGCGGTGTACCTGCAGAATGAATAACCAGCCCCAACGTGGCTGTGATGCCGACACTGTTAGGCAAGCGAGTCCTTTGGTCTGGAATGAGACATTGCACTTGGTAAATAAAAAGATATAGCGTTGACATTCTGCAAAATGAAGCGAGTGAGAGAGTTTTGCCAACTTGCCACGCATGGAGAAGTAGCTCGCGATCTGATCCACTACAAACATGAGGGTGAACCCGAAAGTCAAAGACACCCCAATGAAGAACCGAGGTGGGGGGCCTCTCTCTGTGGAAGTTGTATTTTTTTCACTGGCATTCAGAGCAGATGGCACATCAGAGGAGGTGGGTGCTGCGGAGAGATGTTGAAGGACGGGAAGAGCTTTTGATCAAATCCACATAAAAGACAACAAGGCATACATATGGACCACAAAGCCCGCGTGCACCGCCACGTGCTTCATCATCAAGGGATTATGATCAAACACAGGTGTAAATTTGCTGGGTGAGGATATGTGGAGAGGATTATATGTGATCAGTTGGAAAGGGGGTTGGAAGGGAAGCATCTAGATAGATGCTAGGACTGTAAGGTTGTGATTCCAGCTCATTTTTCATATTTGCATTTGGAGTTTGTATGGTTGCACTGCTCACCTCTCCATGACTCCTCCAGTAAGCCCACTCCTTCAGGGATGGTGATAGCCAGTGCTGTCCCACACAAGAGTCCTGCCCCCAGGATGGAGACAAACTGCAGGCTTTTCTGCACACATGATTTCAGCTGATCAGTGGGATTCTCCCCCCATCCCCATGATTTATTTGAGACAAAACAGCTGTAGATTTCTCACATTACCATAATTAACCATAATAATGCTGAGATGAGGCTCCTTCATAATCACAAAAATACTATATACGGATGTAAATCATTGCAGTCAAGTGTATGCAGGCACAAATGAAGACCAGCGCTGCATTTTAAAATTAAGTTTGATGCCATTCAGTCATTGGGGCATCATTGGGGCATCGTGACCGAATAATTTTGGGAGGTTAATTTACTTACCGAGGGAGTTAAATAAAATTAAGGAGAACAAACACTTACCTCAGAGAGTGTGAACAACAGTGGGATGAATCCGAGTAAAAAAGATCCTACAAACATCGCTACCGATATTAAAGTGATAATCAACCCTCCGTCCATGACGACGACTTCTCTTCCACACAAGAGGCGAGTCAGCTTGCCAACATGCTACATTTCAGCGTTACCTCCTGCTGAGAGCCGACGGTCTGTTCTCGTGGTGTTGTTATAAAATACATGGGTGTCATTCTGCCCTTCCACGTCGCACCTCGGTCTGCCTGCTCTTTAGCACCACAGCAGGACTTCCCTCCCAAACAGCACCCAGTGTCAGACACTGAGTACTGCACCCCCTCCGCCCCCGGCCGCTGGCTCTCCAATCAACTGCATTCTTCTGTCCCCGACAAAATACAGCCTACATCATTTTAGTCTTTTCTGTTAAGATAGTTTAAGATCAAAAGAAGTCGCAAGGACAGGGCAGGTTGATAGGTTGCAGGACAGGAACTAAAAAAAAGCAACATATTTCTGATACTTTTTATTCAAACTTTTTTTTCTGTGAATTATTAGATAGGCTTAAATATCAGACCTCTAAAAATAAAAATACAGGCAAAAAATCTGTTTATGTGTTGAAATGTTCACAACCAGTACGCAACCAGACAAGCAGGTCACAAGTTGCCATCAGGTGTGTATCAAATTCACACCACATACTATTTCTAAGCAAGTTTTGAGTATGAAGTGTGGTCACACTGGAAACGTGTCTAAGTACAGGCCTACTAGCTGTGCTTGTTTAAAGACGCAATTTTCCCACAGTAAAATGCACAAAGTAGCTGTGGGTAGTGGTGACATAAACCCCAAAATATAAGTGTTAAATCTTAAAGATATTTTGATGTCTCTCTTTGTGAGGTTTAATTGGCAGTGGAAGTCAGCTTGATTGATGATGTTGCATAGGTTTCCTTTAATATAAAATGGTTAAATATGTTTGTTTTGCATATACCACCAAAACAGTAGACCTTGATAATTAGTATAGTCTATGCAGTATTAGTATGCAGCACGTATTTGGAACACAGCTATTTCTTTAAGAAGTCACAAGCCGTGTGAGCCTTTTTAACTTCTGCTGAACAGCTGTGGCCACAGTTACAGTATAATGGTGGTAAATACATAGTGTCAGACAAGTACAAGTGGAGAAGAGTTATAAAGCCAGCAAACTGAGGTAGTCATGTCAACAACATCTATCAACATTAGCCTCCATAAGCTGGTTGTACTAGACCAAATAAGGCTGTAGCAGTGAACTCCCAGAGCATATTGAATTGGACTGTAGTATTTTCTATCAATGTGTCTTTATATATATGTTGTCGTTTTATGTGACTATACCAGGGGATAATTAAAAATAAACTCTTAATGTTGACAAACTTGATTAAATACAGATTTATTGTTCAAAGAGCTGGGGGTAAAAGTATAGATATATACAGTATATATATCTGTTGAACAGACGGCCCTTCGGAAAGAAAAGTAAAATGAGACAGTCAAATGCTGCGATCTGCTAATGTTACTTTTCCTACCTAGAAAAATGTAAAGCACACAAAAACACAATCTAAGTGTGCACAGTTTTGAGATGCAGAGACATTTTACTACTCATGTCTGAATACACTAGCAGCAAGCTGAGAACCTCTATTAAAGTGTGCTTGGCTGTTTACACAAAACATTTATTTCCAGTGTGTCCAGCTGTCTATACAGATCTAAGGAAGACAATCTAAAATAAAATGATTCATCATGGAGGATTCCCAGACTATTTGGAATTAGCAAAAGACCACAGGAAATCATTGCAACCATCAGACAGACAAATGTACATTTGCACTCAATGAAATGCCATAACATGGGCTGGACACCATTAAGTTTTGTTATAGTATAAAACGTACAATTTCTGGTTAGCTATAATGAACCGTCCTTCTGGTGCTGTTAAAATACAGCAATCACATTATTACTTAAAACTGGGCTAGGCAATTTATTTCAGAAGCATTGTTTGTTACAATAAGCAATAAATCAAATGCTCAGACAAAAAACTCTGCCTAAGCACTTATTGCACTTAAAAATTTATTTTGGGGGAGTGGCTTTCAAAATCTGTCCGTCTTGCTAGTTTCTTTAAAATTACCTACCCCAGCTTTAAGCTACTTTCATCTTACCGAAGGTTGTGGAAATAACCTACATTCAGCATTTAAGTTAGTGTAAGACAAGATGATATTTTTAAGTATCTCCTGCAGAGCTGGACAGTACATGTTATTTTGACAGAACACATTCAGTTTTCAAGACATGTCAGAGGTATAAAAATGAAGAGGTAAAAAATATAAAATCACCTTATCATGACGAGAAGAGCACCAGACTCAATGGTGTCAAACAATTCTCTTGTATAATAATAATATAACCATGGACAAATTATGGAAACAGTTTAGGTTCATTGTTGTCGTCATCATGCCCTTCTCTGTCAATCATATAAGTGAAAGTAAGATTAGTGCACATTTCCCACAATGGTTCTCTGAGCAGCTGGGTAAATACATCTTTCATATTATGATCCAATTGTGATTGGTCTAAAGTGACAGACTGTAGTGGTACTTTTTCTGCAGCACTTTGCACCTTGCTTCACCAACACTTTTATGTTTAATGGGGCAGTTCATAGTGTTATCTTGACTAAGGAAGAAATTAAATGACAGAAACAAGAAGCTTGATAAATCCTGAGTTAGGTCATGACTGTGTTTCACATTGTAATTTGTTACTTTTGTTGTTACTTTTGTAAGTATGTGTTGTTGTTGTTTGTCTTCCTGATACCAGAAAAGAAGTTGCTTAATATGGTTGAGGCAGATCAGGAATATGTAAAACATTCAATCTGGTTGTTTCACGATTACTGTTGTTGTAGTATTGTTTTGCAAAGCTAGGACTTACTGTTATCAATAGGGGGAGGAGTGGGGGGGAGGAGTGGGGGTTAGTATTCAATAGCATAGATCTGGACCTCATCCACTGGTGTAACTCTCTTGAACAACTTAGACCTATATTTCATATGTTATAACCTAAATTGCGCAATTTGAGTTAAACCATCTACAACTTGGCATTGAGTACTGGCAAATGGGAAAGTGTAACCATGTTCAATGACTGCTGGAACTTACAATTTGCTACCTACATGATGAAATGCCTACATAAAAGTTAACATTGAAGAGGATCTGACAGAGAGCTGAGTGATAAGATCTAGATAGCCAATTTGTAAAACCAGTAGCCACCTAAACTGAATGCTAATTTCTTTATCTCTACCTCAAGACGTAAACATATGGACAAAAAGATACAAATGAAAACAACAAATAAAGAGAACTAGTCACAATGAGTATCATTTGAAACGGACCCAGAAAAAACCCAAAAGGCCTTTCTCTCCTTCTGATGAGCAACACAAAAGGACCAGCAGGCTCCTGGCCTCCAGTCCTCCTGCAGCAGCCAGGATTTCCCGCTACTGAAGGCAGCGTCAGTAGCAGCAGTCCAACAGCAGTCCCAATAAAGGCTCAGTGACTGAACGCCAATAAAATCATTATCAATGTAGTGTCCACAGTTTAGGGGTATATCATGCTTGATAGCATTTAAAAGCCAATGCCTACAAATAAATACTATGTCAAAAAAGGTATTTTACAAATCCAGAGTTTTGTAGCTGTACAGTGTAGAAGCGTCCAGGAGTGTTAGTAGGAATTTCTTTTTTTTTAAATTTTTTTATAAAGGCTTTTATGGAATTGGAAGAACTATTTTGAGACCATCACATCTGCACAGACCAAGCTATCTGGTGGGGTGGAAAACCTCTCCCTTGTTCTTCCCCTCCCACCAGCGGCTTATTTAGCTGAAGCATCTAGTGCAGACAATTAAGAGATATTGAAGGATTATAGAAAAATCCCTTCACCCTTTGAACTTGAAGGCATGCCATACTACAGTACCTTAGTGAAACTCGAGCTTATAGGACAGGTCCTCTCTTTCAAGTGCAATAATGTTAAGGGAATACAGACAGAATATCACTCCCCTTACAAGAAAAGGCGAACAATTCTTCATTTGTGCATTAGCGTCTTTCTTTCATGAGTCCATGTACAGTGTTTTGGGATGTGCCTCAGGTTGAGATGCTTTGGAGAACTATTGGTTCAGTTCTTAGATTAATTCACATATTCCGTACACTCCTCAAGTTAAACTTGGGGGGGTGGGTGGGGGGATTCTGTTCCAGGCAGCATCAGTGCCGCACTTCATTATCAATGAGGCTGTCCTCACCAGACTGGAAGTCCTCATTCAGGCCGTTTTCAACATTGATTATTTCCTCGTCCTGCGAGGACCCTTGGCCGTCGTCCTCGCCACTGCCTGAACCAGCCTCCTCTGAATTTGGGTCTTGAAGTACTTCAGCAATGTACATTTGCTGTAGGCGAGAAAATTAAATGTTTTAGAATTAGTTCTCTTTACAACAAAAAGGTTGTTTCTACAGGTCCTAAGTTTCCTGCACTTTTGACATTCAGTGTTCATATGAAGGAATCACTGACAAGACTTCAGTGACTATTTGAATTCTAAATCTGCTGATCATTTGAAATTCAAAATATAAGAAAAAAACCTTTAAACACACGGATTGTAATCACATACATAGCATACTGATCTTACTGTGAAGCCAACAGACATTAACAGTCTTTTAAGAGCAGATTAAGAACAGTTTTCCTTACAGGTGGTTTTGCCGGATCGTTTTATGTTCTTGTGTACACAGGAAGGTATTTTTCCTTTAAAAGCTGAAGGTATTTAACTGTTAAAATGTTAATTTGTATTCAGTAAATGCATAAAGGCAGCAGATATTTCCCCTGTGTGATCCTGAGGCTCATATTCTTTTAAAATAAACAGAAAACACACCGCCGTCTTGCTGGTGGCAGCAGTGCACACTGGACGCCCATTCTCCAACCCGTCCACGTCCTGGGTGTCAATCTAGGATCGAAAATATGCATTTAACATAAGCAGCTAAATAGAATGCTTGTCTGAAATACTGGTGAATTTAGAAAGCATAAACAATATGCATACAAGGGTGACTATGTTGTTACCTTGTAGTTGTGAGCACTGAGATATTTAAAATGTCCGAAGCAGACGTGAGAAAGGCAGATAATGATTGTGATGATCAAAACTACAAACGTGAACATGGATGTTGCGGCTGAAAACCCTGGGGGAAAGAAAGTGGAGGGACACTTATGTAACAGACCAAAGCGGCAGATATACACATTTGTAAATAAATTTGGGCACGTGTTAAGACATTAGTGGCCTCTAGATGGAGTCCTCATCTTACCCGAGCGAACAGTGGAGAAGAACAGAAGCCAAAAGAGACAGAGAATAGGAGCAGCCACCACTTGGTTGACTGCTCCAGAATGGATCTTCTTGTCCAGTTTGGATGGCAGATAGGCGTAGTACATGTTGTACCGGTCTGCTAAGTGTTTTAGCAGCATGTACATCAGTCCTGCACACAGAACAGAGACGAAACAATTAGTGGAACTAATCCAATTAAGCCTGATGATAAGCTTCAGTATAAAGAACACAACCCTGCCTTCTGGATGTTTCCCCTGCAGTCATTTAATCAGCACATTATCTTGATGTAAAACAACACTAATCCACCAGGGGTCATGGCAGAACTCACCAAAAGGGACGATGATTGGGCAGGTGATGCTGTAGGTCATAACCACGGTGAAGACGCACATCATCCAGGCGTAAGCTGCTCCAAACTGGAACTCATACGCTTGGTGCTATGAAGACACAATGACAGGATATTAAAGATATCTGAAATCTAAATCTCCTAATTTCAGTATTGACATCGCATGAAGCTGATTTACAAAATTATATATATTTCCTACCTAAAATCATAGCAAAGATTCCCATTTATTATGTAATTAATGACATTAAAGTTTCGTCTTTCTTATTTTTAGCTGCTTAATGTAATATAATTTGTCTCAGACAAATTACACTCGCTGTTATTTAATGAAACTACTATTTGGATTGTGGATCTATAAATTATTTCAACTTGATAAGCAGGGGACACACTAACCCTCTTGACATTCCTCCTCTCTGCTGCAGAGCGAGCCATGCAAAGGCGGATCATGTACATAAGTAGACCAGGGATCCTCAGCAGGTCCATGGCATTACCAATGAATGCAGATGCAATGACATAGTTCACGAAGAAGGCTCCATTGTCAGGAAGGAACACACACCTAAAGAGCAATGAAAAAAAGTCAGTATCACTAAAGACTGAAGTCACATTGATTGCATTATTCCAGAAGCCAATTTTATTCCAAATGAATTTAGGTATACAACATCTAGTTGGGGTATTACTAAATGCAGAATTACGTTTTACATTTAACTAGTTATGTTACCAAAGAAATTGGACAGTTTACGCTGTATATTTACAGCCTTTCATCCTATTCTGCTTTGTTGTGGGTGCGACAGAGCTGTAATAATAAGATAATAATAATAACGTCCATTAAATGATGCTACTTACTCAAATCTCACTTTAGCATCTGCTAAGAATCTTCTATCAAAAAGCCAGCGGAAGAAAACATCCAAACTGCAGAAATAGTAAAGACAGGCATCAGTTTAAATATTCAGGCACACAAAAATAAATGAATGCATAGCTTTACATTTCTTTGTGTTGCAGGGCAGAAATAAAGAACATCCTATACCTGCTGAGTCCCAGGGAGGGCAGCAACAGGACCATAAAGATCAAGAAAGTGTAGCATTTATGCATTGTGGTCCTATTCTCTCCTGACCTGTAAGGCCAAAGGACATGTTAACACATGTTCAAAAACAGACAGAGTGATCCTCAAACAACCCAAACCTCAAATGGGAATAAAGACAAAATTGCTGAATATGCTAAACTTTTAATGCCAGAATGCGTAAACCATACCGGGTCCAGTGAGCTTCAAAGAAGGCAGAGTAGTACACAATGGTTGGAAGTAAGGCAGAGAAGGACCACAGAAGGAGGGTGGGGAAGAACTGGGTGATGATTGGATTCTGGAGGACAGATCAGAGAGACATGGACACGTTGTGTCAAGAAATTGAGTGTATGAATTCTTGTGTCTCTGCAACAGCATGCAGAACTCCATTCACAAAAAGCCATACACAAAACCAGACAGAAAGCGGCTTTCAGTTTTTCATTACTCACATTTAGGTACTCCACTGGCTTAGTAACATTGAACTTGTCCATGGTGGAGATGATGATGGCCGGGGTGGTGAGGAAGAAGAGGAGGATGAAGAGGACAAGGTTGATGATCAAGCAGCGGAGCCACCAGGAGAATCCTCCCACTGACAGATGGTCCCTGTGGGATAAAGGCTGTGTAGCGGTTATATTGACACTGGGCAATTACCCGCAGTTATGGACACAGCTGGCAAGAAAACTGACACTGCAGCTCAAAAACCATCAACCATTAACATTTCTGGAGTGAGAAAGTCTCCTCAAAGTGGACTGAAGTCTAATTATTCCTCTATTCTGGCCAAATGTAACCAACATTGATGCAGTTATGTAATGAATAACAAAAAAAATAAATGTATAAAAAGTATAGTCAGCCCAGATTGCGGACAGAGTACTGTACATGACCTGAATGTGTTCTTACCAGTAGACATTTTGTGGATCAGGGGCGTAGCTGACAGTCCATTTTTGTGTGTGGAGCTTGGGGCTGAATTGAGAGCTCTTGGGCTCCCGACGGCAGTAACAGCCCTGACACTTGCAAGCATTAAAATCTTTCAAGATTCTGAAAAGAAGCATCCGCCCAAACAAAGAAACAGACAGAAATAATCAGTCGTTCAAAACCAGTGTCACAGATATACTTATTTAACCACATGTAAATGTACTTACGTGGCAGTTATGGACTCGTTCTGGAAGGTGACAAAGGCCATTCCTAGGGGCTTTCTGTTAACCCTTTCTCTCTCCTTCCTGTAGTCATCTTTTAGTTGTGCCTCCAGCTTGGTATAGTAACTCACTGCCTCTTCCTGCGAAGTACATGAAAATCTGTGATGAGTCTGTGATGTTTGCTTTTAGTTTAATCCTTATTGCCATTATCTCACATTGCAGTAACAGTGAATATCACTGTGTACATCAACACACAGTTTGATTAACTATATGATTATCGCCTAATGCAATTATATAAATACCAACTCAAATACAGCTAGATGAAATAATTGCACAAGATACTACACTCACTGCATGACGAAACCATGCACTAGGTTAGGGCTGGACGATATGGCCAAAAATGTTATCACGGTAAAAAGTTTCATATTTTTATATATGGATAATTATCACAATAAGTATCAAATCATTATTTCTTTCGAGTTTAAAGGTTGATTTTAGCTCCTGAGTGAAAGTTGAAGAAACCTGATGGTTATTTGTGGTTTAAACTTTTCTTTATGGTCAACACTTGATGCCAAACAGTAGATCACTTCACAAATCTGAGGTAGAACATGTGGAACAACAGTTACAATAAAATCTTTGTCAATAAATATGCTTGAGTAAAATTAAGTAAAAGCCTTTTCCCTCAACAAAATAAACATCTTACTAAAAAAGTAAGTCCTAATTTGTGTATGATTCAAGTGAATAAAATCAAAAAATTATTGAATATTTATTGAACATTTAATATACTGTTATTGAAGAAAATTATATCGCGATAATTACTGTTATTGTTTTATTGTCCAGCCCTACCCTTTGTTATGCAATAGTTTATTTTATTTTTTGAGGTTAGTTTGTACTGATTTTATTTATTTATATGCAAGGTGCACAAATTAAAGTAGTTTGAGAATAAACACTAAAATCATGCAGAGATTTTTTAAGAAAATGGTGAAATAAGAAATTAAGGAATAACCTACTATAAATAGGGGAATGTATTCTTAAAGAGGTGGCATTATGCTCATTTTCAGGTTCAAAATCCTATTTAGGGGTTATACCAGATCAGGTACAGCTGTAGGCTACATGTTGCCGACCAGGTTGGCAATTTGGACTGGAGCAAGAGTTTCAGAGTTGTGAGTTATTAATCTGTAACAAAAGTATCTTTCATCCATAAAGTTTTAACTGAGCTCTGTCTCTACATCACAGTAACAACTTTAAATCCATTGACTGCCTGGAGGGTAGCTAGTGTTTGGAAGGGAGAGGTGGTGTGCGCTGCAGTTCAGTGTTTTTTCACCGGTGTTTTTGAGGGCGTGTCGGACTAGCGTCACAAGAAAGGGAAGTAAAGGCTGGACTACAAATGAGCTGTTTTCAGGCAGTTCAGAGCAGTGTTTTCTGTGGGAGATAGCAACTCCCTTTGGGGTGGACTTTGGGCTTTTTCATTTTGCAAAATCAATAAAGGAGAGGGAAAAAGCCAAAAACCATAATACCACCTCTTTAAAATTTTCAAATGACAACTTTAGATTAAAGACTAAAGACTGTTATTTCTAACAGTTAGCACAACAGAGCACCGTGAGTGAACCAAAAATAGCGGCTACAATACATAATATCTAATTGGATGTGGTTTACTAAGAAATGTGGTTCGGTGGCTATTCTAGAAAGCAGGAAATAGACTGTTAAAATCAGATCTTATCTTCCCCTCAAAAATGCTGTTATTATCAGCTTGTAAACAAGTTTCAGGAGTGTGTTGTTTTGAGATAAAGCTGCGACATGTCCGTCTAACCTGCTCACAGCCTTTGATAATGCAACAGCAAAGGTGTCCACAGGGCTTTGGGTTGATCATGGTGGCAATATGCTCCTTGGCCTGCAGGTCAAGAAAGAATTTCTTGCTGCGCTCTGTCTTCTTCCTGCATGCAAAACATCACTTGCGTCAGACTGAAGGACTATTTAACTGAAACAAGCTCAGGTCTAGAGCCAACGAGAAATTTCACAATGTACGCCCCAAAATACTACACAGTCATGCACCTTTCAGAGTTGAGATACATCAGCCTGGCCACATCGTAACAGATACGAGCTTCCAGTACAGTGCAGCTTTCATACGCCTTCCTAAAAGAAGGGCAGGGAGGAAGAAAGTAAACAACTTTATGAGTTCAAAAAAGGCACGACATGTAGACATATTAAAATATTAACATATTCACAACAGCAAAATAGATGACATTTATTTCTCAACCACATTATAATAACTATGGCACACGAAAGGGAAGAACCCGACATCCACGAGCAGCAAAAGGCTTTCATAATTTTTCCTTGTCATCTGAAGTTTCTTTCTTTTGTACTCGAGTGTGGAGGCCTTTATGCAGCGCAGGAGCAAATACAAAATGTTGGTTAATACTATTTAGCTGATCAGGAGTTGAGCCAAACACCCCCTCCTCAGTCTTAGACCATCTTGACACATGACTTGCATGATCCTGCTCATCTGGCATCTATTATGGATAATCACACATATAGGCCTATCATTGTCTGATCCCAGCCATATGGGCCAGGACAAGACAGCTGCTTCTAAAAGGAAAAGGCATGACTCTCATACACCTTAATACAGTTACTGCACAGTTTACTGCCATGTCGACAGAGCAGCGTACCGTTTTATAAGCAGACAGATTTAAGCATTGGTAGATGTGAACAGTGGAGCCCAGATGTCAGTGATCCTAAAGAGTGCTTACTCAAAGTGTTGCTTTATTTCAATCTCCTCTGCGTATTTGGAGATTCCATTGACAAATAAAGTGCGTTTCACCTGTATGGAAATGAAGACAGGGGAGTAGTTACAAACAACATTCAGAACTGTGTGTAATCAAGGAGTTTATAGAACAGCTATTTTCTGAAACCATCTCACCCACCAGGTCATCCTCCTTGTAGTGCATTTTGGAGGTGTGCCGTCTCATGCTGTAGACCGTCAGTAACAGGTAGAGAAATGCAAAGGTGGTGTGAAGCCACAGTAGTGCATTACTGGGAAAATAAAGGGTAAAAAGTATTTAGTCAAAGCATTAGAAAGGGAAGAGTCAATGTAAGGCTTCAAAGTACAGTACACACACACACACACACACACATAAATATAATAAAGTGACATAGTAAAATTACTCACTTAGCATCCAAGTTTGCTATAGTGGTCCGCCCAAAACTATAGGCATCGTTTTCTGTAGAGAAAAGTAAAAGAAACAGCACAATTACTTGTCAGTCACCAGGAGTCCTGCACACTTTCAGCTCACTTTGGCTAACTCCATAAGCATCACCGCTTGAGGGTTAGGGTAGCTGTCAGTGTAGCCAATGAATATCCCTGACGCTGAGCGTCCATGAGTGAATTAATCCACTGGCCAGTATACGGACCCAAATATCATGTTGTCTGTAGAGCATCATTACTCTCCAACAATTTAAGCAAGAGACATGCCTTTTTTCCTGTTAAACTAGAGTGAACAGTGCTAACCGGCAAGCTGTTTGTCAATTTTAGCCATTTCCTTCTGTCAATAAAGCTAATATGAAAAGTTGTGGAGAGTCTCACTTTTTGCCTAGCGCATTGCTCATTCATTCTTTTTGTCTGGCTCAAGTGGGTGACGTGACAGCCAATCAGAGTGTCTGATTCAGATGCTTGGCTTTTTATTCTTTTAACGGGAGACAGGATTTTTCTGAGCTCAAAGTAGATAAGTTGTCAAAGTTTATTGTAATGAAAGAGAAAGATACATAGACATGACAAAGCAGTATTATAGTACAGTTGAGCATTTGAGCTTACGACCCTGCACTTGAGTCCTGAGGACTAGAGGAGTTTTAGGGATGTGACCGGTCCTTATGAGGAAGTAAGTAGTGCTATTATGAAATGATCCAAATTATGATGGATTATGTAGGCTACGGAGAAGAGAAATGTCATTTTGGATTGTTGATCTATTTATTGTCTTTGCGCAATAGGACACCATTTGCACTTCGAGGTTTTCAGACAGACCTACAGTATCTATATAATGATAATTATATTATATATATATATATATATATATATATTTTTTTACTGTCATATACCGTTTTTATCCCCATGAAATGTCAGAAAGGTATGAAAAGGCCTAGCAAATAGTAAAGGTGAAATAAACCCCTCACTATTTACACAATAAAGCTATATAAATAAACATTATTATTATTATTATTATTATTATTATTATTATTATTTTATCCCTCCAGAAATCTGCCTTTATGTTGGTGAACAAAGATTATGGGAGTGTTTTGATAGAGGGTAGGAGGGTTATGCCACTGGGGAAGTGTGTTTGTTTTGAACAAGGCTTTGAAAGGCTGTGAAAGTAAAATAGTATGAACTATTAGTTCATTATTTATCTGTTCTATTAACCATGAGGTGTCTTTGTCTATCTTTGGTAATGCTTAAGAATGTGCAGATGAGGCCCTCACAGTGGGGTGTGGAGACATCACGGTAAGTGAAAACAGATGTTCTTGTACATGAGTTTAGGTGACGTCAGAGCATGCAGTGTTTCTCATATAGACTTTACTTGGGCGGGTCGCCCAGGTAAATTAACACCCGCAAGGTACATTTGGCGACCCATTCTAGCATTTTGTAGAGAAACATAGAGAGAGGTGTTATCTACTATAAGGGTAACAGGACACAGACAGGTGGATATTTTCCATGCACGACCAGGTAAAGCAACAGTGAACACACCAGTGCATGGGCCACTTGGTAAATTATTGGTTTTGATAAGCTACGTCATTAACAAGCCTCCTCCACATGCGGCACACCTGCTGCTGTAAAAACTGAATCACGGGTGGAAAAATCCAAAAGATGAGTTCTGTGTCTTTTCAGCGATTTTATAAAACATACTGCTGGTGGTGAAAGTCAGCAGAGCAGACACATACAGAGAGAGAGAAACCGAAAGAGGTGGGGCAAGTGGTGTGTTTGCAGTAAGAGACCAGCTTTATATGCATGAGTGCGATGAAAAGAGAATTGAAAGGAAAAGCATGGTGTCCAGATTCAAGTAGTGAGTCAACACTAAAAGAGTAGAGTGGAGAATATACAGTAGGAGGAAAATTAAGTAGAATTAAAATGGCATGTACTAGAAACAGAAATACACCCCGCTGGAAGCAATTTCCACAACACTAATGAATTATTATTATCCCTTGAAATAGTCATTTTAATTATTTATTTTCATATGTTACAGTGTGGATGCTGACAAGGCAGCATAGTGGAAGGAGGGGGAGAAGGAGGAAAAGAAGAAGGCTGTCTCCCCTCACCAAACACAAATATCCCCCCTCCAGATCCAGGAAGAAGACGCATTAGGGATATGCACTGGCAGGGGGTGAAAAAAGGATAATTCCTGGCCAAAAACACACTGCCCATAAAATGGGTATACCTCATAAACACAAGATGCTTCAAATGACTTCTAGAACAATCCAAACAAAAGTGTGCAACTTTCTATGTATTTCTTTAGATATTATAGTTTGCAGGGATGTTTTCAATAAAAATAATAAAGTAAAAAAATCAAGTTCTGTTTTTTGTTTTGTTTTATGGGCTAATACCCCCATTTAGTGTATAGAAGTCTTTACAGAGTGAAAAATATAATTAGCTGAGGTTGAGCTCATGCTGGGGATGTTGAAACTTGATTTTTTTTTTTAAACTGACAACTTATGTAAACACACCTGTGTTTACATAAGGTCTCAGAGAGTTAATCTAGTTTTCTGTTTATGTTAGGCCATGGCGTTAGTCAGCAGTACCACAGAAATAAAAACTTATGGAATACAGCATGCAGGCTCCATGTGAAACCATTTTGTCAGAAGAGAAAAAAAGTCTATAAAAAAAAATGTCTATAAGTGCACAAAGTTAAGTATAATTAATTCAACATATTTAGTTGGTATGTTCTAATCTTATTATTACACAGAATAAAACCACAGTACTGCAGATTATACAGTCCTATACGTATCTTTAAAAGCCTAGACACTAGAGAAGGCTGCAATGCTTCATAAAGTTTTGTTCATGGGAAGGCAGTTTTAGCCAGAAGAAAGAAAAAGCACAAAGACAAACAAAATAAGAGCATGAAAAAAAAGATTTAAAAAATACACCAGCAAAAACAAACATAATGGCGAGTCAGTATCACCTAGTCAAATATTGCAAAACTGAGAAAAAAAACTACTCTGTACATTTCCAAGGATCCTCTGGTAGTACGTTTCAATCAACTCACCAAGTAGGTTTCCCGAGAAGTTAACAGGCAAGATGATGCCCACAGACAACACGCCCGCCACTACCAGCAGGCCAATGATGTGGCGCTGAAAGGACAGGTAATGTACTGCATCCTCACCACACTTCTCCCTTATCTCATCATCCCTACACAGAGAAAACACCAGCAAAGTGAACTACTTAAGAGCGATTCACAACAGAACAATTTCACATCCAGTTCTATTAGTGTTCCACCAATTTCTCTTATTTCTAACATGCTGTGTAGATTAACTCACTTGATGCGGAAGATGGCAGTTAGCCAGGAACAGAAGCCCTAAAGAGAAGAGAGAAGAAATGAAGGTGGCCAGTTATCACATGCAACACACAGAGAGTATCTTACATGAAATTTCACTATATTACATCCTGTAAGAACAGTGGCATACTCACTGTGTCTCTCTGATCAATGTCCACAGTGCTGGAAACTGAGGTGAGGCGCTCATAGCGTTCTGTTGTCTCTGATGTCATGGCAGAGGCCACGCTGTATGCAGAAAACAGAACACGCAGCATTTGCATGATGTTACAGAGGTACCTATCATCACCACATACCATAAGGAGATGTAGGTTCTTTTTGCCTCAGGACAGTGGGATTACCATCAGTATCGAAAAGTTGCCAGCACAAAACACACGCACACTAACACACTCCCTGAAATGGACTGAAGAGATTCACCCCTGTTTATCCTGTGTGGGCTGGCGACAGGATTCAAGGTAAGAGGAAGAATCTCTGTAGCCATATTTCATGCACTACAGTACAATACACAATCACTGTCAGAGGAAAGGTTGCGGTAAAAAGTTAGAAAGCAAAGCTCTACAGAGAACAACATTCACAGAGGAAATAACACAAACCCAGCGATCCTCAAGTGGCAGATTAATAGAGTTTGTCCCGCAGAGCCACAGATTGTCCTGGACATAACTCAGCAGCCATACCTTTTTGTATACAAATTTGACTGCCCTCTCCTGGAAGCTCATGTCAGGTCAATTTACACATAATGGGAAAATATGAAGAGAACCCAGGCTCTGCTAGAATTCCAGGGTTGGTTCAGTGTTTAATAATACATAAAAGGATTCCAGGGCTCTAAGAGATCTCAAATGGAATGAGGAGAGAGCCTGCGGCAGTAATCCACCGTCAGCCATCCTCTCGCACATTCCTGTGAGAAGTCGGAATGGCTCATCACAGCTCCAGCAGACAGGATATACTGTAGGTGCACCATGTTAGGGCCTGTCTATGAACAGACAGGGAAGCATTACCTCTCCCTGTAAGCATCCTGTCTGTGCAGCTCATGCGGTGCACTCACACAGATCTAGTCCGCACTTCATAAAGAGGTCAATACACAGATTAGCACACACAGATCTGATTAGGACAGTGACAGAGGACAGGGACACCCAACAGCAGAAATACAAGAGTGACATGGAGAAGGAGAATAATTAGGAGCCCGGCACTGGGAAACGCCTGGAGGAGGAGGAGGAGGAAAACTACACCATCAAGTGTGGAAAAACAGGATGAAACCCACAGTTGCCTGGGCAGAGTGGACACGGGTTATGACTTAGGTTAACTACAGAGAGAAGAAAGGAGAGAAGAAAAAGAAAGTGAGTCTACAATACGGAGAGATAACATACTATTCCCGATCATCCAGGCGACTGTAACGTTGATCCATTCTTCTGCTGAAAAGAGAAGCAAAACAAAGCCATTCAGCTTAGTTAAGAGGAAATAGCCCATTTGGCCAGTAAGGGTGCTGGTTCAGAAAAAAAGTGGGAAAGCATATTACATCACAGGCATACCAATGAAGGTTTGTGTTCATTCTGGTATACATCATCCAGCCGTATAAATGCATTTATGGCCTATGGTATAATAACCCTTTCTTTCATTTCAGCTTAGAGTAATGGCTTATATAGCTTGAACAACAGACACATTACATTTATACGCCACTTCTGTAGGATATATAAACAAGCTTCCAAGTAAGGTTACATTCACGTTTCAGATGTAACAAGAATTTAAAAGACAGACGCTCAATCTCAAGTCAGCACAGTGTAATGAGGCAACAAACTACATTTTGTCTGTTACAAAAGTGTCCCATGCTGCTGCCCCCCTCCCATCCTCCCACCATGCCGCAACCCCATTCTCAGCTCACATGCAGCTGCAAAAATAGTGAAGCTGCAACATCACACAAACACAGTGGGGGGATGTAGGTGATGGAGCACTGTGTCATGTACTTTCCTGGGTTCACAGTCAGAGAGGTCTGTAGCGTCTGATCTCCCTCTCTCCCTAACTTGATCCTCTTGTTTTACCTCATGGAGAAGCGGTTTAAAAAGGAGCAGTGGAATCAGCCTTAGTTGACAGGCGCCTCTTCGGCTGCTTCCACAACTATTCTCATTATTTGATCAGTGTGCAGACATCAGTCTCAAAGTATCCCAATATATCTGAAAGCATATCATCATATACTAATGGGGAATAAAGTCCATGGGGCTTAGATGCAGACATTATTTAAAGTGGTGTGGGAAATGGATCTAAAGGGGTATTTAAATTAAGCAAATACATTTATTAATCATGTGTTTCTTCTTACTCCATTTCAGGCTTATTCCAACAGCAGTCTGGCCTTTCTATCTCAAAAAGCGAACAAAGCATGACCTTGTCAGAGTGCGTTATTGCCATTAAAAGGAAAACTGCTGACACTGACTTCCTGTCTGGAGTTCCATCCTTGTGATGTCTGCTTCTGTCGAAAAACTGACTACACCATCAGAACAAGAATACTGAATTCATCAACTAGCATCCCGAATTAACAGCCACCAAGTGCCAAACTACAGACAAAATGTGACTTTGGCAGATCATTAAGAGTCACCAACCACAATGGCTAGTCCCTCTTGAGAAACCAAAGTGAATGCCAACAAGGCACCCTTTGGTCTTAGGCTTTTGTCCTTGTTGAACACTGTAAACTTTCTAATTATAGGCAAATCATATAAATGCCTAAAAGCTTCCTGCTACACTGACGCTACAGAATGCTGTCAAAAAATGTCTCCTGCAACAGCATGCAACCAGCCTGACATCACATGGATCAATTATCCAGATGTCCAACAGTGTGTTTGCAAACTACTATGTTAGAGAGAGGGAGTATTTTTTAAGTTAACACAAAGTAACAAAAACAGTGAGTGAAAAAAATGTAGAGTTAATTATTTCAGCTGGTAAAAATGATACTTTTTACATGTGTAAAGAAACTGTACATCAGTGCATGTTGGCTTTCCTGGACTAACTACCTGACTAACAAGTCAGTCCAAAAGCCTTGGTTCTGACCTTCAACTCTGGACCACTGCGTTTTAGTTACCTGTCAGCGTCAGTCACCAGGGCCAGGCGACCATAGTCCCATGCTACTTTTCTCAAGAAGGAGAACACAAACAGCAACACCTAGAAGTACAAAATAAACAGAGGCTGTCAACCTCTTGTCCCTTTATTTACATTAGAGACTTACTGAATAAAATATACACAACTGCTTTAAGGTGTTTATTATTTAAAAACACATTCCTGGAACAATTTTACCTCAGTTCCAAGGGTTGTAAATAAAACACAAGATTAAAAGACTTGGATATATTGTTGAATGGTGCAATTGGTATTCATCAGCTGTAACTGGGCACCCCATTTGACGGTAAGAAGGACTCACCAAGAAGCACATAAAGTCAAGGGCAAGGACAGTAGGCACCCCACCAAAAGGCAAGCCCTGGAGCACTGTACTGCGAATTCGGGCCGAGTAACAGTAGTCCTTGGAGGTGGAATTGGGCTGCGGCGTCGGACAGCTCTCTGAATTGGAGCATCCTTGCACACCCCAGATGGCCATTATTAATATCAACACTCGTTGCATTACTCACTGCATGTTGACAACCTGTAAAGAAGAGACAAAAGTATTATAACACTAAGATGTCTGTGAAGATTCTCAGTCTTCCAGGTCATAGTTAACCAAGTCAAGGGCAACTGGACTTGGTTGAAGATACTTGAACAAATTTCACCTCTCATCAAAGAGGCTTCTTCTTCTTTCTTTTCTTCTGACTGGCAGGGAATCCTAGCTAACAACGGTCGTTCAGACTCGGCCTCAGGTGACTCAAACGACCTTAATGACTGTTGTTACAACAGCCAGGAGCACTAACGAACCAAGCAGTACACATCACCTTGATGACGCCCCAGTCAGTCAGAACTGAAGAAGCCTCTTGAATTAGAGGTGAAACGTACCCTTGAGTTTAACCCTCCTTGTTATGTTATAACACGTAGTATGTTAATTATTACAATTGCATTTTAGCGTGTCTATTTAGCGTGTCTATCAAGGACAAATTCCCTCCCCCAGTACTAAGATTGAAATAACTTGAAAGCACACGTCATATGAGACTTGATATGGTAATGGTAACAATGTTCTGTGCCTATCTACTGCAGCTGACATTTTTGTCTTGTCATTACTCACATGCTGTTTTGACCACAAGCATGTCCACGTGTTTTAAATCATTTTACACTTTCCATTCGTTGTTTTAACTACTATATGTGGCAATGACAGTTTGCATTGTTCTTAATTTAAGGAAAATAACTATACTCTGAACACTTAAGTGTTCAAGTACTGAACAGGTAATAGGCAATTCCCCAACCCCTTTCACTCAACAGAGAGCAACCCTGGTATCCCATTGGAAGTATTGAAGTCTAATATTCACTCTCCTTTTAGTTCTGATTCTGTCCCACACATTTTAAGAAATAATTGGGTCTTTAGCTTGTAAGATGTTCAACTTTATTTTTCATTTTGTCTGAAGGCAGGTGGTGTACACTCAGCCTGCCTGAGCTTGTGAGATGAGTGACTCAACCATACAGTCTATGTTGAGTTGGAAGTACCCTGACAAGTCAGGCTCAACAAATGTGGCCTGTTGGGATAAGCCTTACATTGGCTATGTAGGCTCTGTTACTTTCACCTTTCCTTCAGGTATCTGATGCATTAACATCTAAACACTAGAGAAGGGCCTCACTGATCTTACAGTTTACTACCAATCTTAAAGATTCAGACTAACTGTAAGTCCAGATCTTTCAGATCTATCCTGATCTACAGGCTATCACATTTTAAAGGTTTCATATTTCACTCAGGCTGAATGAAGGGCTTGGAGAAACTGCGGAGGTGTTCTGGTGAGTGCTGGCGAATGTGTTTGCACAGTTGCACTGCTATACTTGTGCCCTTCGACCCACTACTACCAGCAGCATTCACGATGCTGCTCATCTGCCCTAACACTAACTCATTTATCCGCTCCCTGGAATGCTGTGACATCAGTGGAGAGGGACGCAGCCAGAGCTGAACAATAAGCCGATAGAGACTACAGGGTTCAAATGGACCGGCCTCAACCCAAGGAGGACACAACATACCCCCCTGTGCCTTCAACAACACTGCTGCACATCATGGACCCACTGCCTCAGTTCAGACTGTTTAACATTCACCAACACCAACATCTTGAAAAGGACTTTTCAAAAACAACTTATTATAAACATCTAAGTTGCTTATAATTCAGTAGGCCCACCTTATGGTTGCAATTTTAGTGTATCTTTTGAATTTACACCATATCCATCTATAATTGTCAGGACTCAGGAATAAAATAATATTTGAGCTAAACATTTGGTTAGGTATAATGTATTTCATGCTGTGTTTAGCGAATACTTGTTGTTTTGTTGTCGTATATTACAGTTCAAAGTTAAAATAGCCTGTAAGAGCTGCCATTAGAATCCAAGAGTCAGCTGTTGAGAAAAGCATGGCTTTTATGGCCTTTGATGTCGGAAAATCAAACATAAAAGGCAATAAAAAAAAGAGTTTGGTTTCACATTACCACAGCTTTGAAAAATACAAAGACAACTTTCTATCCAATTCTCTACACTTTACATTCACAAAAGGTACTGCAGCAAGAGTTTAATCAGTCTTTGAGAATCACTGTTGAGGTTCCCTTTGACCCCTTTATTGTGCAACTGATAAGAGCACTCATGGTGAAGAAGAGCAACTAAAATCAAATTAAAAATAAAATGTGTCATTTGCTTTTACTTTACAGGGGTTGGAAGCAATAACACGAACAACTGACAATTAAATGCAATAACACTGCGATAAAAGTCTTCTATCTTTTTGAGGCTTATAACTGATTGGCAGAGTAGAGCCGAGTCAACAGCTCTTTGATTCCAAACTTGAGCTGGTATTTATTACAGGTTTGTATAATATTGTCAGATCCTGGTATTTTATTCCCAACCTGTGTTTTAACCTTTGCCTTTAATTTGTTTTCCTAGCCATGTGTCCCTGTTTAGGGTGCCCTGTGGGCTTTTCTTGTCAATAAACAAAGGTCATGTTTACATTCAGAGTTTCTCAATACAACGCACTGTGTGCATCATTGAGGCCCATTGTGCATTATATTTTAAATTGTCAGTTGTTTACACCCATGTTTACTTGCTTGCAGCCTTCTACTACACTGCCTTTGTTGCTGCATTTGTACATTGGCAGACACATGCTAGTGTGCCCTAGCATGACTTTATGTGCATGCATGATCCAAGCAAAACAGGGACCAAGGTTGTCTGTTCAAAGCATGATACATGAATACATGACTCCTGATAGCAATCAAGTACAACTTAGACAGAACATCTCATCTTAAATAGTAAATGACATATTGAACAATAGTAAACATAAACATTATCCCTCAAATTTAACACCAAGGTTTTGTTTTCTGAAATCAAATCCACTTTCTAAGAGAGTGTTGTCAGCTTCAGGCAATATTACCTTCATTCTGAATCATAAACATTGTTTAAAGCCTATAGCTACAACCTGAAAAACAAAATTTAGGCAGCATGACAATAAAATAATACTTTGCAAGTGATATAGATTAAGCCCAGATGAAACAAGGGGTATATGTTGTGTATTTTGCTAATGCAATCTGCTTTCTATTTTAATTATACAACTTAAAAATCAAATGGATGTTTCTATGCCTTTAGTGCAACAGGCAACATTGCAGACAAAAGTCTTTTATTTCAATTCCAATGTCTAGAACAATTTTTAACAGCACTTTGAGATTACAGCATGACTCAGCAGCACAGAAATACTGTGCCACCTTTCCTCCTGATGCTAGTTGCTATGGTACCATCAGTCTGGCACAAGTCCTCAAAATACAAATAAACATAAAGGGGATGAAGGCAGCGGGGGAGAAAAGCCCATGTTTCTCAATTTGAAACTCAATCTAGACTGAGTCTACTATTATATACTACTCTACAGCTTAAGCAGGCAAAACAATGTGATTTGTCTAATTGTCTGGGATAATATATGGGTTTTTTTTAGTTAGACAAATATCAGAGCAAAATGTCTACCAAGACAAAGGAAAATGTCATAAAATAAGGTGCCTCATTCAAGTTTATGCAGCTGCATGTTCATTACATGCCAATAACAGAGTTGCAAATCCTTTTCTACTGTTAAGTGCACCTCCACCTTAATGCAACTGGCCTCTGAAACTGCACAACACTAATGTTTTCTATCTACAATGAGCAACAGTACACATATTCATGACCTTCCATTAAAATCTACATTGTTTTCTCTGTGTGTGAGTCATTATTCCTTTAATCTTCATAAGTTCAATATTTAAACAGGCTTTGTTGAATGCTTAAACACAGTGGGTTATGAATTAGGTTAGTTGCTGTCGAGCAACACCAATTTGATATGCCCCACCTAGCTTTCCCAACTAAATTAAAGTTTAATTGGTTGTTCAACTCTTATACACTATCCTATAATCCAGATCATTTTTGGAAACTTTCAACGTTGTATATAATTTATGTTCAAGGGTTTGGTTAAGTCAAACCTAACACTCCTTGCAGGAAAGATATAAGCAAATTTTTGAAATTCCACTTCCACTAACATTTCTACTAAGATGCCCTTTTGTACTTCTAGCTAAAAAACAAAAACAACTCAGTGGCAGATATTTACAAGTGTTGGTTCAAAACAATAACCCCATAAAGGCTTTACACAAACAGTTTGCACATTATTTTCACACACCACAACTACATCTAGGCCTACTGTACAGGACAAAATACTTCAACTCTCCATCAACACCTTTTAAAAGTTTGGTGATAAACTTATCAGCATTTAGAAAACAAGAAATTAAAGAATTAGCAGACACTACAGAAAGAAGATGCCCGCAAAACCTGGCCTACATAGGCAATAATTAATTTCCACATACATTTGTTCAAATGTAATCAAAATGTACTTGCAGGTCAAAGTATTAACACTGTATGTAGACATTGTCCTGAATCCATAATTACCCTGTTCGTCTTGTGAATTCACAAACCTGCTTCATATTGTAACACATGTGCATTCTGCTTCACAACAATAGCAAACTTGGCATTAATCTCCAACAATGCTGATGGCTGATAATGCAGATTTGCACACATTAGCCTTGTTGGTATTAGCCTGTAAATCATTGACAACTGTTCAGTGCCTGAGCTTTGATTATCACAGATTAAGATCAAATCAGAGCACGGTTTCATGATCCTGTCACAGCATTTACATACAATTAAGACCACTAACGGTAGAAAAAAAGGAAATGAGGAATAACTTTTAATGTTGTAGTTCAAATAAAAGTGTCTTCCCCTGCTGACACAGATTTGTGTGTGTTCAGCATTTGTAAGTCTAAAAAGGTTTACAATGAGATTTTGCCAACATTAATAATGATAAATTAAAGTTGATGCCAATGATAAAAGACTTATGTTAAAAAGGAGACAAGTGCACCTAGTTTATAATCTGAAATCTTCCACATAACACAGGGTTTTAATCACTGTTCTCCAAATCCAATGAATTACGTTATCTCTGTAAAAGTAGTCTTACTACTGTAATTAAATTGTCCCTTCAAAAGACTGGGGTTTGTGTTTGGTTGTAAAGGGAAGCCTGAGCTGATTAAAATCTAAAAGACCATAAACAGTTATTCAATCGGTTAACTGATTTAGTGATTTATAAAGTAATAATACCACAAACTACGGGCAATTTTAAGGTATCATTTTAGATTCAGCTTGTTATAGGCATTTGCCATCATTTTTAGGATTTACAGATGCAATGATTGACTGATGCCACTGAACATTTAATCTATTCAAAAATGGTAAATCCTTTCTTTTAGCATGGTACGAGGTAAAAACATGATTCATGAAATCACAAATACCCTCTGAATTTAGGCCAGGAGTCAAGCTAGTGAGATCTTTTGTTTTTTTTAATCTTGTATGAATCTGGTCTGAGCAGAAGTAGCTATGTCATGACCACAATATTAAGACAGCCAGCAACAGCCAGCTCACGTTTATCCCTTTATAGGCTATGCACTAGTCACCAGCCCATGATGAAGTCCATGCCAGTGAATCCAGCACAGTTTAACCTGTTACTGTCAATCCTACAGCTAAATATGCAGAGATTACCATAGCTGCATTATGTAAAGTATCTTCTAGCTTCCTTTCGTCCACGCACAAGCAATGTCCCATCAGCAGAAAGCAAAGTTCCAAACAGCATTCTAGATTATTTGAAAAATATTCTGTTGATCTACCTCATCATGAATAACTTAGCAGAACATGATTAGTGACTAAACAACAAAACAAACATCCAACCACCAGGCGAACTTAATCTGGGGCTTGTGGCTCGAGTGTGGTAAATAATTAAATAAGAATGAATGCCACAGTAAACTGTTAAAACAAACCTAGAATCCTCACCATGAACTACTTCTCATTTGCTGCTTTTATTTAATAATGCTAACTTCCATTAGTTATGGAAACTAGTTCACGTTGCCACTGTTAGTTAGCTTTAGCCTCGTACGCTAACATCAATGATAACGGGCTGCGTTTACTCGTTTATTGCTCTGACAGCAAACATAAAGTTTACCAACGAAATGGCTCCCAGTTAGCTGTCGCGACTGTAGAGAACAACCAACACGTTTGTTGTCAAAATACCAATAAATGCAGAGTTAATAAACGAGAAAAACAACTTACCTTGCTATGATACGCAGCAGGGGCAGAAACTAACACAATTAGCTAATGTGAGCTAACTTAGCCCCTCGATATAGCAGGTAGAGACTATATAATGACTGTCGGCAAATTTCCGCATCAAATAGATTTCGTTTAACCTCCCCGTCCACAAAGGGTAAAGTTAACAAGACGGGGCAAGTCAGTCAGCCGGTGTATCTGTTAGGAATGGCAGACAAGTCTAAGCCGCTTCGGTTCAGGGCTGTGTCTGTGTCAAGCAGTTGAACTGTCCCGACCAGTCCAACGGGGAGAGCGTGACGTAAACAGAAGTAGATAGTACAGAGAGACGACACATCTCAATGCGCCATGATCTTCGCAGAATTTTCAGCGGTGCAGCTTCTAAACTTCTCTATTTCTATACCCCCCCCGGCGCGTTTGGATGCCGTGTACAAAGTTATAAACAAGCTAACCGGGGCCGGTGTTACGCCTGGTTTTGCCTGCCTGCACCTCCAAATACTGCTTTTACACGCTAATAATAATCTTTGTGGGGTCCATCAATGGTGTTAAATGATTCGGAGTATGTATTTTATGAACGTTTAGAGTCTTTAATATTTTAATACACTTAGTAGAAGTACCATTCCTTGACATCAGTAAATATATGTGGTGATAACGCCGTTTGATCAATGAGCACAGCAAAGTGTTTAAAAAGGACCTAAAAAGGTGGATGCATAATTCGGCAGATAAAATTTTGTGGGCTACCTGCTGAGATTTGCATCCACCTCTTTTCTCAGCATAAATGACCGTTATCAGCCGCGAGGTGCATGCGCAGGGAGGCAGAATTCGGCACAACACCTGTTCCTTTAGGTACTCTTGTTTACTTAAGAACAAACGGGAGACATTTAACAACAGTCATCAGACCAACGCACATCTTCTTATTTGCAGCGAGGAATATTAATTTATTTCATATATGCGAATGCATGTTGTGTTTGTTAGCTAGCTCAGCTAAAGGCGATTGGTCGCGTGTTGCTGACGTTACACTCTTGACATTGGCATGGAGCGTGATAGAAGGGTAACGTTAGCAAGAGAGACATTTTGTTTAACTTTGATGCTTTCTAAGACAATTATTCCTGTGTTTTTCTTATTATTCGGGGCACAGACCGTAAAGCGAAATTATTCAGCTCCGTTGTTAGGACTTGTTCGTTCACCATGTGATTGTTAGCATATGCTAGCGACATCATTAGCACATCCTTTAGCTTAAGTAACTTAGCTGCTAACTAATGTGTACTTTCTCATCCTAGCTCACACAGTATTCGCTGTAGTAATGGCTCTCCCCCAGCTTTCAAGATCCATTACTGGGCTTCTCGTAGAGACATCGTCTATAGTTCATCAGAGGACTTTTAGGTGAGATCTTTTTTTTGTTAATTCGTTGAGTGACACTACGGAGGTGACAGCGGTGTGGTCTGGGAGTAAAGAGTACGTTGTTAAACCAAATAAGACTAATTTACTGGCACAGTCACTAACATGCTTCAGCATATCTGTCATTTATTAAAGTCTCCCTCCAGTTAAAAAAAAATGTTGTTTTGTATATTATAACTTTAAAACGATGTCTGACCTTCACAGCGCATAAAGTATGAACAGAGATTGACATCAGAAAGATGTTTTCACATTAATCTCCTGTGGTCACTTTAAACGTGAGATGCAGATGTTCTCCTGAATCTATCCATGGTTTTGAAGCTAATCGTGGTCCAATATGCAACAAACACAAGTGTGGCCCCCAGGATATAATATAACATACCTGCATATATTTATAGATTGTGGTTTGTTCAGTAGGGGGGATAAAGAGTATATTTGCTTTTTAATAGTTTATTTATTATTGGTGTTATTGATATATTTAGAAAATATGTATCAGACACAAATTATTACTCAAAGCAGGGTATTTTTATGTCTTCAAACATTTCTGGAGGGGATCTTTAAGAATTATATCCAAGATATAACAAAATTCTGGACATCATTTCACACACTCATGTTGTGCTATCAGTGGGGGTCATGCATAACTTTATAAACTGATGTTTAGATTATTTTCTATTATGCAGATTAGGGCTGATTATTTGCAATATGTTCAAGTGCAATATCCAAATCGCAGGAGCTGCAGTTTTTTGATAAAGGTAAAATTTGTCACAAGATACCATTATCAATGAAGCATGTGGTACTACAGAGATGCCCCAGTTCCCTGATATCTCCAGATATAACATGCTTGTTTGGTACAGATCCCAAAATCACATCACCATTTTTATATTACTTAAGTGAGAATGAAATGCAAAAATTACCATTCCCACTAACATTGGAACTCATATCACAATACCTGTCAAAATAATCACAGTATGATATATTTGCACATTGTTGAGCCCTAATGTTAATGAAGAATGGGGAGGACAGCTGTTAAAGGGAAATTTGACAGAATTCAGTTTGAAATTTCAATTATTGAGAAAAGCATGTCTTAAAGTGATATCACAAGGTGACACTTTTTGTTGTTACACTATGTTGTCGTAAGTTGGTGCTTTGGTTTGTATTATTGATATAATTTACATAGAAACTCTGGTGGCTTAAGATTCTGTTTGAAATTTCCCATCCACATGAATATTAATATAGCTGTAATCAATATCATGATCCATGACATTCAGTAATGGGTATTGCCCCTGGACTCCCGTAAGTTGAAGATGACCAGTTTTACTTTTTGTCTTGTCAGTGTATCTGCTGTTGCAGCCGCCATTCAAAAAATGACAAGAGTGCGTGTAGTGGACAACAGCTCTCTTGGAAATACGCCATATCACCGTGCGCCGAGAGTGATCCATGTCTACACCAAGAATGGCGTAGGAAAAGTTGGTGACAGAGTGTTGCTTGCCATCAAAGGACAGAAGAAGAAAGCGCTAATCGTTGGACACAAAATGCCTGGAGAACGCATGAGTCCACGCTTTGATTCAAACAACGTTGTTCTGATTGAGGACAATGGGAACCCTACGGGAACAAGGATTAAGGTCCCTTTACCCACGCATCTACGTACAATGGAGGGAGATTACTCTAAAGTTCTAGCAATTGCTAGTTCATTTGTTTAATACCAGCATTATTCAATTGTGATTTGAGAGATATATATATAAAAGATATTTCTCATCTGCTGGGTGTATATGAACATTTTATGCGTATGTTGTCTTCAGCAAACTTAAGGAGCATACACTCAGTAACAAATGATGTCTCTATACAGTATTCTGTTACTTAATGTAAGAAACAAGTTTTGTCACTATTGACATTTTATGGAGGCCTCTCTATGCTTACAATAAATATAACCTTTGCCTTGAATGCATGAACATTGGAGTGTCTAGTGCAGTTTGAGCTCCATGAACACAATGAACTAACTATGAAAACCATGAGGGAAATATTTATTGAAGGCACAACATACATTAACACTAAACAGGTGAATGACACTTTTTAAATGTGTTTAACATCATGGTGTCAGGTATAAGGCATTCAGTATCATGTGATCCCAGTATATGTCACTTCAGTGGACTTACATACGGTTTTTCTCACTAATGTGAGGCAGCTTCCTTAATCGACAATCACAGTGCAAAATAAAAACAATCAAGTAAAACTAAACATAGGTCAGCTGCTTGACTTCTAAAAAAGATTGGTATAATATATAAAAACAGGCTAAACCTCAGTATCAAATGCAAAAAAAAACATTGACATTAGGTCATACTGCCATCTACAGGTGAAAATGCAACACTGATTAAATTTCCTGTTCTAAAAAACAGGAATATGTAGAATGATTAAGAGAAACTACAAGACAGATTTCTTATGTTTAGTGTTCCTTAAGGAAACAGTTTTTACTGCGATTGTGAAATTAGAACAGGGAAATTACTGTAAGTAAATCAGCTGACATTCAAACAAAATATAAGTACCTCACAATGCACATTACAGCTAGTGATTTGTCATGCAGAGGCTCATGCTGTTTTTACACATACTGTAGGTCTGCATAGTTTCTCAAATTTGTCCAGGAGACACTTGTCTTAGTTGTCAGTTATACAGCTCTTTGGCTACATTAGGTATGCCGAGGTGGGATGTGTTAAAGGGTCACTAAGGCTGAGGGCTCCAGGTTCAAGGCAGTCTGCAGGCACTGTACCTTTTCTCTCTATCCTCCAGTGAAGACGGTCCTCTTCAACCACACATTGTGAGGTACAGCCACTGGCAATACAAGAATTAAGATTAGAGGAACAGAAAATAAAATGTACAGAGTTTCCTTTTCCACAGAACTCACCTCTGTGATATTCATCTCAGCCACCCCTGACCCCTCCTTGTCGAACTGCTGGAAGTACCCTGTCAAAAGTTTTCACAATTTGTCAGTGGTGTTGCAATTCTCTGCAAACATGCTGTACACATTTAGAATAGCATCTATTACAATAATACTCACTAAACATGGCTTCAAGCTTGACCAAGCAGCAGATGAAGTTGTCAAAGTCAACCATCTCATTCTCTGCATACCGGGCTACCAGAATCTGGTTCAGTCTGTTGTTCAGTTTAAAACCTACACAGGAAGTCAATAAAAACAAAAGAAAGCGTTACACTTCATCTGTGTCTGTACAGTAACTTCTTGTGGAAATGACAATCAAGAGCATTATAATACCTGCTGCTTCCACAGCAAGACGCATCTCATAAGAGCTCATGGCCCCTGACTTGTCCAAGTCAAACTGTCTAAAAATGACCTGAGAGACGAAAACAGAAATGAAACCCAGAGAATCTTAAGTGTGCATAATGTTCCTTTGACATTATTATTTTATTAATTCTTACCAGCCAGTTTCGGATCTTGTTCCAGAGGATCTGAAATTCCACCAGCCCTAAACGGGCACTACCATCTTTCTGGTAAACCAGTGTCAAGGGGTGAAATGACACACAGACAACCACTAGCATGCTAAAAAAAAAATTTTTTGTCTGTTTCTTATAAAATGAATGTCATGTGTCTGAAAAACTCAAGAGGATACATCCATCAGGTTGACCATGGTCCTACATGATTCCATACTGAAGCCGTCAGTCTTCAGATCTTTGTCTGAAATAGCAACAAAAAAAGAAAATACACTCATCTGAAATAGTCCGCCAACAGAGACACAGTTACACACAGGCTCATAAGAGAGGCAGTCCAGGAAAACGGATGGTGTACACTCTACGGTAGAATCTAATACAGTAACGGGAGATGTATTACTAATATGCAAACTTTCCAGAAGCTATGAATTGCTAACTAAAAATAAACAGAAAACTCACGCCGGGTGACGACTCTGTTTAGGATGGTCCTAAGCTCGCGAATAGAAATCTCCATGTCCTGGAAAAGCACAGAGGACAAGAACATTTGAGGATTTGAAGAGAAAATAAGAGAATTTGCAAGATCATTTTGGATCCATTGCCAATGTTTTATAAAAATGATTTAAGTAGGTAAGACAGATCTTACCTCTCCTGCTAGCTGAGCGAACATGGATTTAAAAGAGTCATCAATGTCATCTTCAGTTATTTCCTCCTGTAGGAAAACACACATATAAAAAAGGCATACATAATTGGCATCCTATTGATTGCCTGCTCTTCATGTAACATTTTCTTTTAATCCTACAGTGTTAGTCGCGTGTCACTGATACATACTTCATCTCCTAAATCGGCAGAGATTTCATCATCCAGTTCTCTGCAATGGACAAACTCATATTTAGCATGAGATTTGAATTTCTACACACACATAGGATGACATTAAAACCGTGTGCAAAAGACACATACTCTGTTTCTGATTGCTTCTCAGTGAAGACTCTGAGGACAAAGTCAGCCTCCTTACTGGGCTCAAAAGTGGAGGGGACGATGAGGTACTCTCCTGGAGGCAGACGAAGCCGCGTGCTCACCTCTCGCAGGTTAATGAAGGTCTCTGAGCGAGCGCACGAGGAATTGGTCAAAAAGAAATTTTTCTTCAAATGGACATTCTGGCACCCTCTGTACTAAGGGCATTAAGACACAATACATGGGTTGAGATGCATTTATATGTTTTTGTGGCCATTTCATAAAAATCATATATACTTTACATTACTGCCAACCATTTTACAAAGCACGACACAGTGAATGTTTTCAACGTCTAACTGCATTTCATTGAACTTTCATATGGGCATGCAATAGGTCATCCATCACAATGAACATCAAGCCTGCTTTCATTTGTCAAATTAACAATACCATTTCTTGATAACACAATTAAATATGTGGATTTATTAAACAAAATTGTCAATTGTGATGAATTGACTATCTTAATTAAGTGAAACCTGATATTCATACAGTGAATGTGATGAACACTATCAGCAGCTCTATACAACATTCATAGTAAACGGGCTAAAACATGATGAAACATCAGCATGGTTATGATTTGGTTAAATAAACAGTGGTAGTAATTGATGCTCTGCCTACCTCCTCTGGAATCTGCACAAAAGAAGAAAAGGAAAACAATGAACATAAATAAGCGGAGGAAAGTTTAAAAAAACAACAACAATATAATGTTAACATGTGAATCAACAATGAGAAGGGCAAAGGTACACCATACTTATGTTTGTTCCTACTCTGTTCTCACCTCATAGATAGCAAAGCCAATGGTGTGCATGTCCTCCCCACGGCGGCGATATCTGCGGCGGTCCTTCTGCATGAGAGCTACTAAAAAACTGCATGCCACTTCATCGTCCTCCGGGTCATCATCTTCCTCCAGCAACGTGATCTTAAACTGAGGGTTGATCCAGAATGTGTCTACACAGATGGTGCATTGGTGTTAGCCTGTTTCATAGAAATCTTATCACTTGATTACTTTACATGAAAGCCATTTTTCCTGCCACAATGCTGATGGGACTCACTGGGATGGTTCCTGCAGCCTCCAGCGGTGCTGCCTCTCCTCCACGTGCCGTAGAACTTCATATAGTTCCAGTGGCTGAGGCTCTCCTCACTCAGAGCGTCAGGAGTCAAGTTACAGATCTCCAGCCGAGAAAACTGCCTTTTGAAATCATTGAAGGACATCCTGGTAGATTAAAATAAAGTTTTGGGTAAGAAACTGGATGCAGCTTTTCTTAAATACTTTGATATTTGCTTTCTTGCAAAGTGTTGCAAAATGAGAAGATCCATACCACTCATGTCTGGTAAATATAAAGCTACAGCCAGCAGCCGGTTACCTTAGCTTAAAATAAAGACTGGATACAGTGAGCCTGGCTCTGTCCAAAGGTAACAAAATCCACCTACCAGCACTAGTAATTAACAAATTACAGTGAGGAAACACCCTGCTATTTTGCAAGTTCTCCCATTTCATGGAGGGGTCTGAAATTGTCATCGTAGGTGCATGTCCACTGTGAGAGACAATCTAAAAAAGAAAAATCCAGAAATCACAATGTATGATTTTTTTAACTATTTATTTGTATGATACAGCTGCAAATAAGTATTTGAACACCTGAGAAAATCAATGTTAATATTTGGTACAGTAGCCTTTGTTTGCAATTACAGAGGTTTGCACACACTGCAGGAGGGATTTTGGCCCACTCCTCCACCCAGATCTTCTCTAGATCAGTCAGGTTTCTGGGCTGTCGCTGAGAAACACGGAGTTTGAGCTCCCTCCAAAGATTCTCTATTGGGTTTAGGTCTGGAGACTGGCTAGGCCACGCCACAACCTTGATGTGCTTCTTACAGAGCCACTCCTTGGTTATCCTGGCTGTGTGCTTCGGGTCATTGTCATGTTGGAAGACCCAGCCTCGACCCATCTTCAATGCTCTAACTGAGGGAAGGAGGTTGTTCCCCAAAACCTCGCAATACATGGCCCCGGTCATCCTCTCCTTAATACAGTGCAGTCGCCCTGTCCCATGTGCAGAAAAACACCCCCAAAGCATGATGCTACCACCCCCATGCTTCACAGTAGGATGGTGTTCTTGGGATGGTACTCATCATTCTTCTTCCTCCAAACACGGTTAGTGGAATTATGACCAAAAAGTTCTATTTTGGTCTCATCTGACCACATGACTTTCTCCCATGACTCCTCTGGATCATCCAAATGGTCATTGGCAAACTGAAGACGGGCCTTGACATCTGCTGGTTTAAGCAGGGGAACCTTCCGTGCCATGCATGATTTCAAATGGCAATTTCCCCGTAGCCCTTTCCAGCCTTGTGGAGGTGTACAATTTTGTCTCTAGTGTCTTTGGACAGCTCTTTGGTCTTGGCCATGTTAGTAGTTGGATTCTTACTGATTGTATGGGGTGGGCAGGTGTCTTCATGCAGCTAACGACCTCAAACAGGTGCATCTAATTCAGGATAATAAATGGAGTGGAGGT